GGTCGATAGCGTTTCCGCCGCGTCCCGACACATGTGACGCGACGGCTTCGGTGCACCAGTCGCTCTCAGCACTAACTACTGGAGCCCTTTGGCTCTGTCAAGGTGGATTTGCAGTTCAGCCTCCAGTGACCTACGGGTGCCTATGCGCAGCACGAAACCTTACCATCCTCATCCGTCCTCAGCCCTCCGTTCCTTTCTGAGTCCGTTCGGCGTCTGAGCCCGCCCGGCCGCCAGATGGGCAGCCGAACGGGCTCAGTTCTGACTCCTGCCGTTGGGACCGAGCCCGCTCGGCCGCCGCACGGGCTCGACCTTGAGCCCGCTCAGCGGCCGAACGGTCCCAGATGCCGCACGTCAGGAAGCAAGTCCCAGGAAACCTTCGTGAGAACGATTAACGGCTATGGTGGAGGTTTTAGATAAGAATGCCTTCGATAAGGAACCCAGGGTCTCACGACCGATGGGCGGCCAAACGTGGGCCACCCACCTCGCCTTGAAACAATAAGGAATGCGCCAGGGTCTGGGCCCCAGGAAGACGTTCCTCATCCAATGCCGCCGCCGTATCAGATCAGATTCAAAGACAAGCTTGCCAGAACAGCCCGAGCCAGACACAGGATGTAACCCGATTCGACCAGATGAACTGGGGTTAGCAAAGACTGAGCGGGGTCGCGCCAAATTGGACGGGATCATACCAGAGTGAGGCTGTTTTCGACCACGGGAATACCAGCGCCGATACTGAATACGTAGAAACTCCCAGATCCAACCAAACGAATGGGCTCAGGAGAGAACCCTGGGGGAAGGCCTCCCCGCCCTCCCCCCCCCCCCTGGCGCGCCTCCCAATGCCTCTCCTGCCACCGTGCTTCACAGGATGGTGACATCAGGAAGCTTTGCCCAGGAACGGGGTGAAATCGCCCGAGAGCCATACTGCGAATCCTTCTTGCCCTCCTCATCCTCATCTTCCTCTTTCCCTCCCTCTCATCTTTCCCTCCACCTCCCCGCCCGACTTCACTCCTCCTCCGCCTCCCCCACCCCTCATCCTGCCCTCCTTCCCTCCCCCACATCCCTCACTGTCCTATTTCCTATTTCTTCCTCTGAGCCTGCGCCACGCTCATTTCGTAGACCTTGCCGAAGGCACGGAGGTGCAGCATGCAGACGTCGGACTGCGCAGCGCAGCCCCCGCAAGGCCCCCCACCCCGGGGAGGAGGAGGAGGAGGAGGAGGAGGAGGAGGAGGAGGAGGAGGAGGAGGAGGAGGAGGAGGAGGAGGAGAGGAAGGAGGAGGACAGCGTACAGGGGAGGTCAGCTCCACTCTAGGAGGAGGGCTCGGCGGCACCAGACGCCGCAGCCGCTCGAATCGCAATCGGAAGCGGCGAGGAGGAAGAAGCGGGGAAGGAGCACGCAGCAGCAGGAGCAGAGCTCATAGGAGAGGAAGGAGGAGGAGGAGGAGGAGCGAGCGGACGAGCGAGCGAGCGAGCGAGCGAGCGAGCGATCCAGCAAGCGAGGTGAGGAGGAGGAGGAGGAGGAAGATACAGGCAGAATTGATTGCACAGGACACGCGACAGGACACAGCACTCTTCCGATGGTAACATTGCTTCCAAAGCCTCAGGACACAAGGATACTTCTCCTGCCGAGGCAGCGACCGCGGTCACGCCGCGGGCCAAGCCACCGACACCCGCGGAAACCACAACACGCAAGGGCACCTTGGCCCGGGACTGCAGAGGATACGACGCGTGCACTGCATCATAGGACACAAGGAGTACCCTTGCTTCGGCAGGGGCGACCTGCCAATCCAGGCCACCCGTGGGCACTGCGGAAGTACCGCAGCACCCGTCGGCAGGGGCGCCCTACCAATCTGGGCCACCGGGCCACCCGTGGGCACTGCGGAAGTACCGTGGGCCTACCCTATGATCACAGCCCGCGCACTGCAAGCAGGACAAGGAGAAGCGAGAAGGCACCAGAAGTAAAAAGGGACCAGGCGGAGGAGGAGGAGGAGGAGGAGGAGGAGGAGGAGAACGAGGAAGAGGAGGAGGAGGAGGAGGAGGAAACGGAGGAGAAGGAGGAGGAGGAGGAGGCAGAGTAGGAAGAGGAAGAGGAGATTGAGGTGGAGAAGACGAGGAGTGGTGGTGGAACGAACACAGGCATGGCGGAGTTCCGCGCGTGAAAAGGGGGCCAGGAGGAGGAGGAGGAGGTCCCCTACCTCCACGCGCTGCGACAGAGGTAACGACGGGGAAGGCTCCGGTGCCCTTGCCGGGGCCCCGGGCCGTCGAGAAGAAGGTTCGAAACGAGACATCCATCCCTTTGTATGGGGTCCAGACCTCCAGGGATCCAACTTATGGAAGCTCACAGGAGTGCAATTCTGGGGAGGAGAGGGAGGAGGAGGAGGAGGAGGAGGAGGAGGAGGAGGAGGAGGAGGAAGAGGAGGAGGAGGAGGAAGAAGAGGAAGAGGAGGAGGAGGAGGAAGTGGGGAGGAAGGAAGGAGGGAGGGTTCAAAGTCATTAGTCCCATGCACACACACGAATGGAATTCCTGCAGTCCGAGTTCAAGTGCCCGCTCGAACGGCATTGTTAGAACGCTCGGTTTGCACAGCCTCTGTCCTTGAGACACATGAAATACAAGTTTGGCGGGACTCGTGATCCGACTCAAGGCTTTGGTCGGGCATGTCCCCCTACAGGCGGATTTTGGACGAAAAACTAAACATAGTCAAAAAGTGCTGGAAGCATGTAAAAAAGGTGAATTCGTCCCCAGACTATTGTTCTGATTTGTGTTTGCATACCCCTCCTGTAGAGGGACATGCCCGACGACTTAACTCATGGCGCAGACTCACGAGACTGGGCTCGCGGGCTTACGTCGGAACGTCCCTTCTGGAATCGTCGCAGGCGGAAGGGCTTGACTTGGGGGGGGGGCTGGACGAGGGGGGGGGGGGAACGAGCGGGACGGGCTGCGCGTCAAGACGCCAGAGGAGGGTGTCACCTCCGTGGTGATCGCGGACGCGGCGCAAGCCCCAGTGTCGTGTCTGGGCGCGCTATAGACAATCGGGTTGTGCGCATCGCACTCGCTGCCTGCACGGGTTTGGCCGCGGTGGCCTTCTCCGGATGCGCTGCAGGTCATCGGAAAAGGGTGCATTCGCAAGGTGAACTACTTTGGCGTCCGTGGGCTTTCCGGGTCCATGCGCGGAGACGTGAAAGTCCGAGGAAGATAAAAGAAACAGGTCGAATCACGAGAAATAATAATGGAGGCCAGGCCGAAGCCAGGGCGTGCTAAGATCTCCGGTAACTGGTTAACAGTATTAAAAGTATTTCTAGTTCGCGCGCGCGGGGCGGCCCCTGGGGGTCCCCCGGCGAAAAGTACCCCGACCAACGCCCGGTCGCCGCCCGACCGCCGCCCGACCAAGTCTACTCAGAGATGGTTTTCCTTCTGGGTGCGGCCTCTCAGGCTCCCCAGAGCGCGCTCAGAGTGCCCCAAGAGGCCCCCAAGACTGCCCAAGAGGCCCCCGAGACGCCCAAAGAGCGCTCGAAGACGCCGAAGATGACCCCAAGACGGCCCAAAAGGCCCCCAAGACAGCCCAAGAGGCCTCCAAGACGCCCCAAGAGCCTTCCAAGAGGCCTCCGAAGAGAGCCCCAAGAGGCCAAAATCGTTGATTGTCATTGGTTTGTTCGATGTTTTTTGTGTTCTGGCTTTTTCGGCTTCCGGACGCTCCAAGACGGCCCAAGAGGCCCCCAAGACCGCTCCAAGACGGCCCACGAAGCTCCCAAGACGGCGCCGAAACGACCCAAGAGAGCCCTCAAGACGGCCCAAGTGCCGCCCAAGACGGACCAAGAGGCCCCAAGACGGGCCCAAGAGGGACTCAGGAGGGATACCGAGAACTCAAAAATGGAGCCCTCCGTCCCAGAAGGCGCCCAGGAGGTCCCAAAGAGGCCCCAAGAGGCCTCCAAGAGGCCCCAAGATGTCGCCAAGAGGCCCCAGGAGACTCCCAGGAGGCCCAAAAGAAGCCCCAGAAGGCTTCAAACATGTCTCCCAGGCGCCCCCGAACGGCCTCTCAACAGACCCCAAGAGGCCCCCCAAAGAAGCATCTTGACGACGACTCTATTTCGCCCCATCGAGAGACGACCCCCAGGGAACTGCTTCACCATCAAAACTCCCCACGCAACGCGTCCGAACGACACCCGCCCCCAAGAGCGCAACATGGGCAACGAACACACAGACAAAAACCAGCGATGCCATATCACGGGCCGGCGGAATGAGCGAAGCGATTCAATAATAATGGAGGCCAGGCCGAACTTTCCGACTGTTGCACTCAGAAAGCCCTCGCATGTTGCACGGGCGGAATACTGTCGGAAATCCAGAAAAGCAAAGTTCCTGGGAAGACAAGCGGATATGCAAGAGTAGCGGTGGGCTTTTCAGTTCCTGTCGCGTCCCCCCTTTCGGTAACGCCCCCCCCTGCATTGCTTCGTCTCTGCGTTTTCGAAATCATGCGCGCCAGACTCCAATCCAAGCTTTGAAAGTATTTTCCTCTGGCAATTCTGGGAGACCAAAGGATACCAATACTGCTACTCCCCAGACCTCTCCCGGGGTGCGTTCTGACCAAAATTTCGAAGCGAATCCAGCGGTGTTGACGACGGCCTCCCAAGAGGCCCCCCCAAAAAAAAACGGGCGAAGGGCAGCGGTATGCACACCTTTGCCTTCTCTGATATTCTGCATCGCTGATCGACGCCCAACCGCACCGCCAAGACACGGGCACGGCGCTTCGGCGTGGGTGCCGCACGGCGCCGCCCGTTGCCGCACGGCGACACTCTCCCTGTTCCACCACGGCGGCGGCCGCGCAACCATTCTCGCGCATGCGCCGCGCGTGCTCACGCATCCTCCGGCGTGCTACCGCCAGGTGGCCACATGTGAACCTCACGCCCACTCCGTACGATTTCCATGGAGGCGGTGGGGCTCAGTGCTCCCGAACGGAGTGAGCCCCCACCCGCCCTTGTGGCTCACATGCGGCTAGGGGCTAGGGCTCACATGTGGTTTACGTGTGGCCGCCGCACCGCGTGCTCGCAGCATGATCAGCTGCGGAGCTGGGCGACCAAGCTCGCCGCTGCGTCTCGCTTAGCGGCCTTCTTGTCCGCCCCCGTGCCGACGGCGGTGACGGTGCGCAAGGTGGAGGCGTAGACCAGCTCGCAGGCGCCCGCTCGCCAGGTCTCCACGAGGTCCACCTTGGTCCTCTTGCAGTACAGGTTGAGGACGGCCAACGGCGGGTCGTCCTTCGCCAGGCCCTGCGCCGCACCGCGCTCCCGGGCCTCCTCTCGAGGGTGCCGAGACGGTGTGGCGACACATCGTGTGGCCCCCTCGAGATCCACGACGACCTCACCGCACGGTGCGTCGCCACACGGTTTCGAGGCCCCGGCGGCCCTGGTCGCCCGGAGGCGTCCTCGGAGAACGGCCCGAGCCCAAGGCCGCGAGGCGACCCCGAGCCCCCACAGAGTCACCACACGGCGTGGCCACCGCGCTGCCTGGGGCCCCCGCGGCTCCTGCGCCGCACGGACCTTCGCAGGGTCCGGGCCTGCGCCGGGCTCGAACGCCTCGACGATGCGCTGCTGCTGCTGCTCTGCCGCAGCCAGGGCGCGGGCCGGGCGGTCGGGCCGCTCGCTGAGCACGACGAAGCTGCTCCCCGCCTGGCGCGCGCGGCCTCGGCTCTGCGTCAAGGACACGGGCGTGAGCATCGGGTCGAAGCGCAGCACGCAGTTGGCCGCGGGGACGTCCATGCCCTCCTCGGCGACGGCGGTCGCGATCAGCAGATTGACCTCGCCTGCCGCGAATGCCGCCACGCGCGCCCGGGCCTGCGCCGGGCTCACGGCGAGGGAGGCGGTGGCGGGCGAGGTTGTTGCGTAGAGGCACGCGGGGCGGAAGCGCTCGCGCAGCGAGGCGTCGCGCTGGAGAAAATACTCGAGGACGTGCGTCGTGACCCGCTGCTGCACGAAGAGCAGGCCGCGGAAGCTCTCGGTGCGCCCGTGCTCCCGCAGGAGCGCCGTTTTCAGGTGCAGGAACCGCGGGAACTCTGCTGGCGTGGCGGCCCAGAAGGCGCGCACCTTGTTGCTACTTTTTGTTCTCGAACAGCTTGCGGAAATAGAAAACAGTTCTGGCTGGGGGAGGGCGAAGCAGATACATCCTCAACACAAACTGTTTTGTTTGGTCCGCACCGTTTGCTCGAAACATCATCACGACTCTCGTTTCCGAGCTGGCCAGGATTAGGCGTTTCGCCTGAGACATCCTCGGGAATCGGAGATCCGAGATGCTGCGCGAGTTGTGGTCTGGCGCGTTTCGCCTGAAACATCCTCGCAGTTCTGAGCTTCGAGATGCAACGCGAAGGGTAGTCTGGCGCGTTTCGCTTGAGACATCCTTGCAACTCAGGGCTCCGAGATGTTGCGCGAGAGGTGGTCCAGCGCGTTTCGTTTGAGACAACCCCGCAAGTCGTGGCTTTGAGATGCCGCGCGCGCGCGGGGTAGTCCAGTCCGTTTCGCTCGAAACATCCTCGCGGTCTTGATCTCCGAGATGCCGCGCGCGAGGTGGTCCGGCGCGTTTCGCTTGAGATATCCTTGACACTACTGTGGGTTCCGAGGGAGAGAATAGAGGAGGGAGGACGGGTCAGACCCACACAAACCATTTGACTACACTGCTGTTATCGAATTGTGCTGTGGGAGTTGACTGGGCACCGCCTGAGATGCGATATCCTCGCAACTCTGAGCTCCGAGATGTCGCGCGCAAGATGGTCCAGCACGTTTCACCTGAGACATCCTTGCAACTCTTGCTTCCGAGTTGGCCAGTCTTGGGGTGGTCTGGCCCGTTTTGCTTGAGATATTCTTGCAACTCTGGGCTCCGAAATGCTGCGCGAGAGGTGGTCCAGCGCGTTTCGCCTGAGATATCCCCACAACTCTGGGCTCCGAGATGCCACGAGCGAACGGGTCCGCTGTGTTTTGTTGACACCTCCTCACACTTCAAAACCTCGAGATGCCGCGCGCGAGGTGGTCCAGCACGTTTCGCCTGATCCATACTCGCAGCTCTGGGCTCCAAGATGCCGCGAGCGAAGTGGTCCAGTGCGTTTCGACTGAAACATCCTCGCAGTTCTGAGCTTCGAGATGCTGCGCACGAGGTAATCCAGCTCGTTTCGCCTGAAACATCCTCGCAGTTCTGAGTTCCGAGATGCTGAGCGCGAGGTAGTCTGGCGCATTTCGCATGAAATATCCTCGCAACTCTGGGCTCTGACATGCTGCGCGCAAGATGGTCAAGAGCGTTTCGCCTGAGACATACTTGCAATTCAGATATTTGAGATGCCGCGCGAGAGGCGCTGCAGTCCGTTTCGTTCCTCGCTAATTTGGGCTCCCAGATGCCGCGCGCGAGGTAGTCCAGCGTTTTCCGCATAAGACTTCCTCACAAATCTGATATCCGAGATATCGCGCTCGAGGTGGTCCTGGCGCGATTCGCTTGAGAGATCCTCGCAACTCTGGGCCGCAAGACGCCGCGCGCGAGGCCGTCCAGCGCGTCTTGCCTAAGGCATGCTCGCAACTCTGGGCTCCGAGATGCTGCGCGCGGGATGGTCTGGCCCGTTTGGCCGAGCGCTTCGAGCTACCGCGCGCGGGGTGGTCTGGCGCGTTTCGCCCGAGACCTCGTCTCAACTCGGATCTTCGAGATGCCTTGCGCGAGGTGGTCTGGCGCGCTTCGCCGGAGACATGCCTGCAACTGCGGGCTCAGGATGCCGCGTGAGAGGTGGTCCGGCGCGTTTCGCTTGCGACATGCTCGCATCTCTGGGCTCCGAGATGCTGCGCGCGAGATGGTCTGGCCCATTTCGCCTGAGACATCCTGACAACTCTGGGCTCCAAGATGCCGCGCGCGAGGGGGACCCACGGCGTTTCGCCTGAGACTTGCTCGCATCTCTGGGCTCCGACATGCTGCGCACGAGGTGGTCTGGCCCGTTTCGCCTGAGACATCCTTGCAACTCTGGAATTTGAAATGCCGCGCGACAGTTGGCATGGCCTGTTTCGCTCAAACAGTTCTCACAGCTCTCGGCTCTCAGAAGATCTGCGCAAGGTGGTCCGGCGCGTTTCGCCCGAGAGATCCTCGCAACTCTGGGCTCCGCCATGCTGCGCGCGAGGTGTTCTCGCGCGTTTCGCCTAAGACACCTTCATAACTGGGCTCCGAGAGGGACGAGGGAGGAGAGGCCAGACCCACGTGATCCATTTGATAACGTACACTTCTGTTGCCGAATTGCTCACTGGGAACTATCTGGGCGTCACCTGGTCCATGCTCGCATGCCGCGCGAGAGGTGGTCCAGCGCGTTTTGCCTGTTACATCATCGCGACTCTGAGCTCCGAGCTACCGCGCGCGAGGTGCTCTGGCCCGTTTCCCTGCAGATATCCTTGCAACTCTGGGCTCCAAGACGCTACCCGCGAGGTGGTCTGGCCCGTTTCGCACAAGAAGCCCTCACAACTCTGGGCTCTCAGACATCCTCCCAGCCTTCGACATGCTGCTTACGAGGAGGAGTGGCGCGTTCCGCCTAGGACATCCTCGCAACTCTGAGCTCCAAGAGGTAGGAGGGAGGAGGGGCCAAACCCAAACGAATCATTCGATTCAACTTCTGTTGTCGAATTGTGCTCTGGGATGTGTCTGGGCACCGCCTGATCCATCCTCGCAACTCTGAGCTCCCAGATTTCGCGCGCGAATTGATATTGCCCGATTCGCCTGAGACATCCTCACAACTCTGGGCTCGAGGTGGTCCAGCGAGGTGGTGTAGCCCGTTTCGCTGAAGGCATCTTCACGTCTGGGCTCCGAGATGCCGCGCGCGAGGTGGTCTGGCGCGCTTCACCTGAGACATCCTCGCAATTATGAGATTCGAGATGCCTTGCGAGAGGTGGTCTGGGCGGCTACGCCTGAAACATGACGCCATTCTGATTTCCGAGATGCCGCGGGAGAGGTGGGGCGGCTTGTTTCGCCTGAAACATGCTTCACAACTCTGGGCACCAAGACGCCTCGCGCGAGATGGTCTGGCCCGCTTCGGCAGAGACATCCTCATCAACTCCGGCATCCGACATATGCTGCTTAGGAAGTGGTCTAGCGCATGTTGCCTGAGACATCCTCGAGACTCTGGGCTTCACGAGGGCGGATGGAGGAGGGAGTAAGGGTCCGACCAAAACCAACCTTGTGATTTCAACGTCGCATTGTGCTTTGGGATGGCCCTGGGCGCCGCCTGAGACACCCTCGCAATCCTGAGCTCCCAGATGGCGGGCGAGAGGAGGTCCAGTCCGCTTCGCCGGAGACGTCCTCGCAACTCTGGGCTCCGAGGTGCCGCGCGAGAGGTAGTCCGGCCTGTTCCCCATGAGGCATCATCGCGACTCTGGGCTCCGAGACCATGTGCGCGAGGTGGTCGGGGGCGCGTTTCGCTCGCAAGTCGGAGCTCCGAGACGCTGCTCGCAAGGAGTGGCTTGGTTTCTTCGGGCAAGACATCCTCACAACGCTGGGCTCCGAGGGGACAGAGGGAGGAGGGGGAGGAGGACCATTCGAACCATTTGAGGAGGGAGGGAGGGGGGACGGAGGGAGGAGGAGGGGGAGGAGGGAGAGGAGGAGGAGGAGGAGGAGGAGGAGGAGGAGGCGGAGGAGGAGGAGGAGGAGGAGGAGGAGGAGGGAGGAGGGGAGGGGGAGGAGGGGGAGGAGGAGACCTAAACGAACCGTTGGATGGCACTCCTGTTGTCGAATTGTGTGTTTTTGAGGGGTCTGCGCGCCCCTGGCCCGACGGAGGAGGTTGCCGGCGCTGCCGCGCGATCGGGGCTCCTTGGTAAGCCTCTAGAGTTTTCCTCAAGGGGGGGGGAGCTGCAGTCGGGGCGCTGAAGAAGGAACCCTTTTCGTTGGGGAGGGGCTCCGTGTCCCTTAAGTCTTTCACAGCCTGCCTCAGGTTCTCCTCATGCTCTCGATGGGAAATCGAAGTGTAACTCATGGAAAAAAGGGGCCTCGTTCCTTATTTGAGGTCCCTTAGGTCAACGCCTCGACTGCATGCTGGAGGAACTCGTGGAGCTGTGGAGATGCCTCGAGCAAGACCGCGGCGAGCAGGGGGGGGAGGCGGCAGGATGGGGCACGAGGAAGGGAGGAGGAGGCACGAACGCTGGAAGAAGGGGACGGGACCGGTCCCAAAGTACGTGTGTGAGGGCGTCCATGGCGACGCTGCCTCCTGGCAGCGGCACCCTCGAGAGTGCCAATGCCTTCCTGGAGTGGCGGAGGGAGCGGACAAGAGGAGGGACGAGGAGGAGGAGAAAGAGGAGGAGGATGACGCGGACGAGGATGGGGAGGACGAGGAATGCGAGGACGAGGAGGAGGAGGAGGAGGAGGAAGAGGAGGAAACGGAGGAGGAGGAGGAGGAGGAGCAGTGCTAGGAGGAGGAGGAGGAGGAGCAGGAGCAGGAGCAGGAGCAGGAGGAGGAAAAGGAGCACTGCGAAGAGGAGGACGCGGAACACGAGGAGTACGATCAACACAGGGAGGAGCTCAGCGAGCACGAGGAGGAGGAGGAAGAGAAACAAGGAAAGGAGGAATGTGATGAGGAGGTAGAGGATGAGAACGAGGAGGATGAGGAGGAACACGTCGAGGGGGAATGGCGCCAGCATGATGAGAAAATTCGTATGAAGGGGGGCGAAGGATGAGTAAGATGAGGATGAATAGGAGGCGGGGGAGGAGGGGGAGGTGGACCAGGAGGATCAGGATGAGGAAGATGATGAGGAGGAACCAGAGGAAGAGAGGGGAATGATGAGGAGGATGCGTAGTGGAAGTGGGAGGGCGAGGGCGAGAAGGAGAATGACGTGAATGCGGAGGAGGAGGAGGAGGACGACGATGACGACGATAACGAAAAGCTCGACGATAGCGCCGAAGGCGCAGGCGGATCAGGAGCAGGAAGACGCGCGAACACTCTGAGGAGCCACCTTGGCTAAAACGACATGCTCCATGGGGATGCCGGACTCTGGCTATATTTGTGTTGTTCGCGCGCCTCGCTGTTACTCTTGCTTCCCAACGGTACCATCGCTTTAGGCTTTTTCGCGCACCTCGTTGTTCGTATCCCTCCCTTCTGAGTCCCCTGATCTTCTTTCCTTCGCGCGCCTCGGCCTGCACGGTGTCGGGCCAGGCCTCCGCCGCCTCGCAGCCGCGCATGCGGAGGAAGGTCGCGGCCGCGTCGGCGCCCTCCTCCCACGACACGCACAAGACGCGCAGCGCCTCGTACCACTGCTCGAGGTCCGCGTACAGCGGGCCGGCGCGGCCGTGCGCGTAGGCGCCCCACTCCTTGACGGGCCGCCCCAGCGGCGACGAGAAGCCGCGATCCACCAGCGCCACGGCGGCCTCCATGGCCCGGACGCAGCGGTAGAGGCCCAGCGCCGGCGCCGTGGCGGTGCCGTCCTTGAGCCGCGCGAAGAAGACCGGGCTCATCTTGTGCGGCTTGCGGTCCGCGGCTGGCACGACGCCTGCTGGCGGCCAGCCGGGCGCGGAGAGCACGTCCGCCTCCGCCGCGTCCCCGTGGTACCCGTCGGCGCGCATCTCGGCCACGGAGGCCATCGCCATGTGCTCGATGCGGAGCTCGCTCGTGAGCTTCTGGACTGCGGCCGTGACGGCCGCGTCGCCCACCGCGTACGTCAGGGACGCGGTGAGCCCGAGCACGCAGGCGGGCGCGTCCCGCAGGCGCAGCGCGAGCTTGCGGTACGGGTGGTCTTTCAGGACGTGGTGCACCTCGTCGAAGATGACCAGCTTGAAGCTCGACCACGCGAGTTCGGTGCGCTTGGCCTGCGCGCTGGCGAAGGCGGCTGGGGTCGCGACCAGGACGTCCCACTCCGCGGGGAGCTGCAATTCGCCGTGGTATTCGCCGACGCGCAGGCCAGTCCACGCCCGCACCGCGCGTGCCTGCTGCTCAACCAGCAGGATAGTCGGGACGAGGATGGTCGAGGAACAGAAAACGGCATCGCCATAAAATTTCTGAGCTCAGCGCTGATTTCCTGGCATGCGCCGGACCACCTCCATGGCGCACGAAGCGCGGCAGGGACAGCGCCAGAGGCGCCTCCAAGGGGGCCCAGCGCCAACCCAAGGATTCCACGAGGAGCTCTGGAAATTCATGTGGCTGCCGTCTTTCCTTCTTCGGGCAGAGCGCCGGCAGCGAGGCCCGCGCCAGCTCCGCCGCGATCAGCGTCTTGCCCGCGCCCGTCGGCAGCACGACGATGGAGCGCCGGCCCGCGCACTCGGCCACGAGCCGCTCCTGGTAGCCGCGCAGCCGCGTCGGCGCGGGCGCGGCGGCCACGTCCGCCGCCTGCATGGTCGCAGTCCGCTTGGTCGCCACGCTGGGCTGCGGCAGCTGGGGTTAGGTCGGGCGTATCCCCCTAGAGGCGTATTTTGGACGAAAGAATTGAAAAACAAAACAAAACTGATAATAATATAAATCATCAAACGCACTCCAAAATCGTCCCCTCACAATTCCCCCTTCATCGTCCCCAACTACTTTTTACTACTTCTGAATATTCCTCCTGTAGAGGGGCAGGCCCGACTTACAGCTGGGGCTGGAGGGCCGTCCCGATCGCCCGCCGCCTGAGGCCGCAGGCCACGGGGCGAGCCGAGCGCCGACCACGCGCGCCCGGCGGGCGCGCCAGACGAGCGCGCCAGAGAATGGAGCCCCTGCGTGGCGCCGCGGCACGGGAAGAGGAGGCCCAAACTTCAGTGGGGCGTGTCCCTCTGCAGGAGGAAAACTCCAAAATAGTAAAAAAAAAAAAAAAAAAAAAAAAATCTCGAGACGATTCGTTGACTATTTGTTGGCGATGTTTTGCATATTTGTTGGCCACTCTGGGTTATGCTCGGACTATTTGTTAGTTTTCTTTTAAGATCCCCCCCGTAGGAGGACAGGCCCGACTTCAGCCCAGACGCCCGACGCTTTCCGCACGACGGTCGGGGAAGAAGCGATGATGGAAGCATCGACAATTTGGGGGGGCCCGCGCGGAGTTCTGAGAACGGCGCTGGGCCCCCCCTGGCGGCGCCTCGGGTGCCGCCCCTGGCGCGCTCCGCGCGCGCTGGGGAGAGGGTCCAGCGCCCTGCCCGAGCCCTTTCTCTTTCTAGCAGCGCTTGCAATTGAAATTGTTTGTTTTCTTTGTTTTTTTTCATCGTCACGGAATCGGGGATGGACAGACCTCCCTTTAGTAAAACGTGGTTAAGTAAAAAACGACCCTGGAAAATGACGGCCGCGGCGCCCTCTCGAGAACCGAAAACGGACAATTCACTAATCGACGTGTCAGGGTAGGAGGTCTGTCCACCCCCGAAGGAAATTCCATAGGTACGGCGGGGCTTCGGCTGGTAGCGGGTTGGCGCCGCCACTGGGCGCCTTGCGGCCAGCTGGCGGCCCGCTGGCAGCCACCCGCGGGCGCCTCGCGGGCGCCTCGGAGGGCCTTCGGCGGAGCTGCCTCCTGGGGCCACGGAGCCGTGCGAGGGGCGAGGGCACGGAGGGCGGAGGGCGGCGGCAGGGATGGGATGAGGGATCGGGCGTTGGCAGAACTGGGTTTCGTGGAACCTGGTTTAGTGGTCTGTACCGGGGGCGCCCCCCCGTCCCATGTCCACGAACCGGAACTGCCGTCACCCGAACAAGCGCCAGCTGTGGCACACCTGGTTTAGTGATTCTGGCCAATTCGAAGGCTCTGGGGCCCTACCACTAACCGGGTCCCCTTACCCAGGGTCCTGGCCATACCTGAAGGGAGGAGCGGGAGAAGGTGAGAAGGACCCAGACCTTAGTGGGCGCTGGAAACGACAAGGCTGTTTTTGTTGCCGGTTCCGTTATGCAGTTTTTGTTGCCGGTTCCGACGCCGTTTCTGTTACCGGTTCCGTCGCCGTTTTTGTTATGGGTTCCCGCTCCGGTTCCAATCCTGGAGCCGTTTTTGTTGCCGTTTCAGGTCGCCGTGTTTTAGCCGTTTCCATTTTCAAGGGACACTTTGTCGGAAATGGTGAAAAAACGGCCCTGCCGTTTCCGGGGCCCACCAAGACCCAGACCCCCTCGCGTGGTGACAAAAATCACGACGAGAGGTTTTTCGCTATTTGCGGCCTCCGGGGGCCCTCACCGGGCATCGAGACCGTCAAACAGCTACTCGGGAGAAAAAGCCAGGCCCGGGAATGCGGTCGAGGCCTCTGGGGGTCGACGTTGACTTCGGGGGTCTGGGGAGCGCGGCGCTGCGGATTCAACCGAGGATCCAGCACTACAGGATGGTTGGGAAAAGGATGAGCAGGATCGGGAGGAAGGAGGAGGAAGACGAGTGGTCGCACCCCTGTGGATGATCGGACTGTTTGCATCAACTTATCTTACTCGAGGGTCATGCAGGCCTTCGAAAGAGCCTTTCGCGGGGACCTCGAGGAAAACGACTGGGAGGAGGAGAAGGAGGAGGAGGAGGAGGAGGAGGAGGATGCGACGCTGGCTGGCGAACGCCGCGCTCCAACCGAGTGCGCACGGCGTGCACAGGCGAACGAGCGGTCGTGAACGACCGCCCGAGTGCCAGACAAGGTCGGCAGCTCCCTCCCGCAGGATCGCGGAGCTGACGCTGGCACAGCAAAGAGGTGGAAGAGGACGGAGGCGAGAAGAAGCTAAGCTCGCTAAGCTCCGTCCTCAATCTGCAAATCAGAAACTCGGATCGCTAGGAGCCTGACCCAGTGGGTCTCGGGGTCGGCCACGTGGAGAGGGCGAGGGGCAGGGATCCTGCGCGAATCCTGCCTCCCCTCGTCCGCAGGGTGAAAGCCCGCCAAAGACTGCTTCCTGTTTCCGACAGCCCTCTCCGAAAGGCGATGGGCAGCACCGAAGGACGGGAAATCTACAAGAAGGTGGCCCACCGTGTCAGTGTTGAAAAACCCACAGGAAAAAAAACACAAGCACACATGCCCGGACGAGACCCAAAGCCGATGGCCCCTGGCCACAAGGGCGGGGACGGGACCCGTTTCAGGCAAGGCACATGCGGGCGCGTCGGTCGATCCCTGCGTCGGCCGCCAATCCTCCTACGATGACGACGCCCACGAGCAGGCCTTAACCCAAGAGGAAAAGGTTCCAGGCCTGCTGGTGGGCGCCGTGGGAATCTAAAAGTATCGGGTTCCAGCGTCGTTGCTCAGGGGGGTCGCCGACTGTCCTCTCCTAAATCGTGCAGGGCGGCAGAAACATATTCATTGCATCGTTCCCCCATTCTTTTGATTCGCCGTCCACCTTAGAAAACTGACACCGGGTCGAAACCAGCTCCGAGACCTTCTGGAGGGTGATGCCCACCAGAGGCCGCCGACGGCAGAACGACATGCTCGAGGGGCGCAAGGATGGCCTGGAGCCTCTGCAGTCGAATGACAAGAAGAGGAAGCAAGCTGCCCAGATTTCATCGCCCGCTCTCAGCCTGGAGGGGACTCGATAACCCAGACCTCCTCGAATTGTGAAACAGCACGGCGGAGGCTTCTGGGCAATGAGACGCTCGAGGCGAAATATCGGTCCTGGGGGAGGGGGTTCCAGACCTCGGGATGCACACGCTCTGAAAACATGCGGCATCGACTATTTGCGATAGTACCCGGAATCTGCCAGAGACCAGACTCTCGATTGACAACAAGAGACAATGTGAAAAAGTGCGACCTTGGAGCTCCGGTTGAGCACAGGGGACTGCCAGAGACCCAGCACTCCAACGATGAGAAAATGGGAAGCACTCTGCGTGATCCCCCCCTTTTATCATTCGAGCGCCTGGGCTCTCAAGCAGTCGACTTTGATTCTCGGCACGAGTCCCGTCGCAGCCGTCAAGGAGCATTCCTGTCTTACGCGCCGGTGTTTCGAGCAGTCTGTATGAGTCTCATGCCGACTGATCGAAGCATTGATTGGCCCCAAGTCGGTGGCCCAATTGTGTACGGGGTTCACGGTGCATGGTGTCGAGATGCACGGTAGCTCAGGAGCCAATGGTTCAAACGAGCAATCGAACCCAGTGCGCGCCGAAGCCACCGAAGCCGGGACGGCCACGCGTCCCCACGAGGCGAGGCCATCGTATTGCCGATGCCCTGAATCTGAACAGGTTGACGTCTCGATTGCCTCCGCCGCCGACCTCGGCATGAACAATAGGGTCCTCAATTCTGCGCGTACGGCCAGGCCGGCAGCCGCAATTTCAGCTCCCAGCGTGCTGTGGGACACACAAGGCTGTCTTCGGGAAGCCCTGCTCTGATGGGCCCTCGTGCAGGGCCCCAGATGATCTAGTGGCTGGCAGTCCTGGACTTCTTTTGTTTCCCCCTGAAAAGGCCTCTCTTGCTTCCAGCGCAGGCCTGTGTGCTCCCGCTGGGTGGCTCTGGTGCCCTTTTTCGGCCCCCCCAAGGCACACTCCTCCTCCTCCTTCTCCTCCTCCTCCTCCTCCTCCTCCTCCTCCTCCCCCTCCTCCTCCTCCTCCTCCTCCTCCTCCTCCTCCTCCTCCTCCTCCTGGCATACTGGCACATGTGCCACTTGCGCCACGAGCGGAGCAGGTCTGAATCGCGAAGCGTCCGCCTCGCTGGGCCCACAGGGGAAGGCCTTCGACCCTGCGGGCAGCCAAGCTCTTCCTCCCGAGTCGCGCTCTGACGGCCCCCCTCCGGGGCCGGGGCCCAGGCACAGCGGGGGCCGGGGCCCCCCGAGATGAAGGGGCCCTGGGACGCACAAACAAATATACACGAACAACAGGATTCCCCCCTTTTCCCATCCTTTCTGGGCTTTTGTCTTCCCCCCCCCCCACTTCCCATACTTTCCCGCATTTCTTTTTAGGAGGAGGAGGAGGAGGGAGGAGGAGGAGGAGAGAGAGGAGGAGGAGGGAGGAGGAGGGAGGAGGGAGGAGGGAGAGGAGGAGGGAGGAGAGGAGGAGGAGGAGGAGAAGGAGGAGGAGGACGACTGCTTGTGTCTGCGTGTTCTCTTCCCTCCCGACGAGGAAGCGACGGCGGCGAGGAGTCTCGGGGGCCGCCCCCCTGCGGGCACCCCCCTGGCTGCCCGGCGGCGACCTCCCCCTGCAGGAGGTCCTGCCGCCGCCTACCGTCGGGGCCTTGACCTAAGGAGCCCTAAAAAAGGAACGAGGCCCCTTTTTTCCATAAGTTAACCTTCGATTTCCTTTTCGAAAGCATGAGGAGAGCGTGAGGCAAGCTGTGAAACACTTAAGGAACGCGGAGCCCCTCCCCAACGAAAAGGGTTCCTTCTTCAGGGCCCCGACTGTAGCCTCCGCCGGCTGCCGCCCATCTTCCGCCAGCCTGCCGCCAACCCGCAGATCCGACGTTGGGTGAAACTGGCGTTAGGTCGGGCGTGTCCCCCTACAGGGGGATTTTCGAGGAACATGAAAACTATTCCAAAAAAAAGTCCAAACTTGTCAAAACGTATTCAAAAAATAGTCCCCTGACTATTTTGACTATTTGGGAATATTCCCCCTGTAGAGGGACAGGCCCGACTTCACGCCAGCCTGCCGCCAACCCTGAGATCCGACGTTGGGTGAAACTGGCGCAGCGCACCAACATGAAGAAACGATCGTTGGCAACGCGCGCAAGGGGTGGAGGGAGGGGGAGGGCTTCTCAGAAGGAGGCTGCTCCTTAGAAGGCGCCGGCCTTGCATCTATAGAGAGGGGCCGCGCCTTCTAAGAAGCGGGGGTGCTTCCGAGAAGCCCTCTGCGCGCAGCTGAAAACGAGCGGCGCCCGAAATTTCCCGAAGCTGGACCGATCCGAAAGGGTCCTATAGGGCCGATCCGAGAGGGGCTGGGGCCAGCCTGGGGCCCGAGAGAAGGGGAAAGCGCCCGCTGTGCACATACTGCTGCGCTTAGGTCGACCAAAATTGGCACCGCCGCCCGAGGAGCACGAACAGTCGTCACCCGACTATATTTGGTTGACTATTCTGGGAGATACCTCCTGTCGAGGGACATGCCCGACTTCGCGCGACGCCAGGATCTCCGGGAGACAGTCGAGAGGGCGCGCCGAACGGCGAGAGACCCCTCCTGGCGCGGCGGGCGTCCGGGCCTCCGAGAGCTCGAGGAACACCCGCGCCGCGTCCAGGGCCTCCTTTAGAGGGCAAGAAATCCACCCCCAGAATTACCACCCCGACACGCGAAGCCGTTTACGAAACGCCCCCCGGAATCGAACAGGGCAGGGCTCCTTCGTCCAGGTGGTGTTTCCTCCCTGGATCCTTCTCCGAGGCCTGGAGCACGCGGTCGGAGCAGGAGGACAGGCGGTGCTTGTAGGCCTCGATGCGCGTCTGCTGAACCACCTCTCTCGGGTGCGCTGCAGAGGGCAGGGGGGGCGCGCCGGGAGACACATAAATAAACAGAGCCCTGAAGGGGCCCTGAGACACACAAAGAAATACACACACATACAAGGATCCCCCATATTTTCCCATATTTTCTGGCTGTTTGTCTTCCCCCTCACTTCCCATATTTTCCCATACTTTCTGGGGAATCGAGGATTAATTGTGTCTGTGTGTGTTTTTTCCCCTCCTGAAGCCCCCCAAACCCCTCCGAGGTCATGGCCTCCTGTCCACGGCGTGGGCACCGTGTCGCTCCGCACGCCGCGTCGGCTGGCCAGCCGAGGGGCCAAGGAGCTCGACGGAGGAGTGCGGCGCGCAGGCGCTCCAGCGCGTCCCACAGGCGGGGCAGGCTGGGATGCCGGGGCGTCGATACACTGAGCTCCCCAGATCCCTGGCGTCGTGATTTTTTCTTGCGACGTGGCCCCCAAGAGGTCTGGACCCGTTTTACCAGCCTGGAACATATCCCTATCCCTATGCTGGGCACCTCCTCATCACGATGCCAATCGTAGGGATTCCCTTAGTTTTTGAGGGCAAATCCCTAAGATTGTCATCGCCTTTTGGCATGTTAATATAGGGATAGGGATACGTTCGAGGCTGGTAACCGTTACCTTGGGGCTTGCTTCGCATCCCGACTTTTTGGACGGGTCGGTACATCGAACATGATCGGCGCGAGCGTCGAAAATCGGTAGGCATCAGCTGGAAATCGGATGCGCAGTCGAATCGGCAAGAATCGGCATATCTGAACCGCATCGAATCGGACACTGAATCACGTGAAGCTGGATCCGAATCGAAATCGGAAGGCAGGGGGGGCAAGGAAGGTGCAAGAGGTGATTGCAGCGACTTTCGTCGTCGCACGTCGCACGTCGTCGTATGTGCCCCCCCTTGGGGCCCCCTGGATGCCCCCTGGAGGCCCCCTGGAAGCCCCCTGGAGGCCCCCTTTGGGGGCCACCTGGAAGCCCCCTGTGAAGGCCACACCTGGAGGCCCCCTTGGGAGGCCGCTCCCTTCAAGCTCACTCGAGGGGCCCCTGGAAGCTACCTGGAGGGCCCTGGGGGCCTCTGCAGGGCCCCCGTCCTCCTCCTCCTCCTCCTCCTCCTCCTCCTCCTCCGCCTCCTCCGCCTCCTCCTCCTCCGCCTCCTCCGCCTCATCCTCTTTCTCCTCCTCCTCCTCCTCCTCCTTCTCCTCCTCCTCCTCCTCCTCCTCCTCCTCCTCCTCCTCCTCCTCCCCTCCTCCTCCTCCTCCGCCTCCTCCATCTCCTCCCCCTCCCTCCTCCTCCGCCTCCTCCTCCTCCTCCTCCGCCTCCTCTGCCTCCTCCCTCCGCCTCCTCCTCCTCCTCCGCTCCCCTCCTCCTCCTCCTCCTCCTCCTTCTCCTCCTCCTCCTCCTCCTCCTCCTCCTCCTCCTCCTCCTCCTCCTCCCCCCCCCCCACCTCCTCCTCCTCTCCCTCCTCCTCCTCCTCCTCCTCCTCCTCCTCTCCTCCTCCTCCTCCTCCTCCTCCTCCGCCTCCTCCTCCTCCTCCTCCTCCCTGGAAGCCCCCTGGTTGCCCCTTGCAAGCCCCCTGGGGGCCTCGTCGGCACCCGAGGTCCAGGAAGCCCTCTTCGGCCCCAGGACGGCACAAAGCGCGACCAGAAAGCCGTTTTCAAAATTACTGGCAAGACCCCATCAAGCGGGCCCCACGAAAGCCCCTCGAGGGCCATCAGTCACCGCAATCGTCATCGTCGTAACCGTCGTCCGTTTCGTCCGTGTCCGCCGCCGTCACCCGTGTCCTGCTAGGAATGTGTGCTGCTTCTCTTGCTTCGCCGAACTGGAGCGGACAGGATCCACAGGAAATCCGCCGATCGGGCGTATGATTTTAGGAAAGCCTAAGCTTCAACTCAGCTATGCTGGTTGGGGACCGGGGTGGCTCTGCCGTGCCCTATGTCTTAGCGATGTTTCAAGGATAGCTCGGGCAGCGACTGGATAGCAAAGCTTGAATTAGCGAGCCTTGCTCAAGCTCAATACCTTACTTCCTTGTCCGGGAGGTACTATACCTTTGAATGATCGGGCTGGCACGAACAACATCCAGGAAAATATCGGAAATGCTAAAGCTATAACGTGGCAAGCATGCATCGCATGCGTAAGCGAAAAAGATAAGTGCTGTCACATGTATTTTCGGTTTTCTTTCAGCTTTGCTATGACCGAAAAATTCGGCAACGAATCTGGAACTGTACACGTTCGGATTTCTGCAGATCTAGATACGACCGAAAGAAAACTGCAACGATTCTGAAACTGTATGCTGCCACTGTTCTTCCGATTTAGATAAGACCGAACGGAAGCGGAAACGAAAATGACGTACAACCGAAACGAAACCGAAACGACACATGCACAACACCGAATCAACACCGAAATGAAACCGAAACGAATCAGGAATGAAAAAAAACATGCACGAGATTGAAACACAACCGAAGCAGACAGCGCAAACATCACAGTGCGAAAGACATCAATCGCAAGCTTCACGCGCAATCAAAACAAAACCAAAATGGAACCGATACGCAACCGAAGCAAAATCGGAACAACACCGGAACGAAACCGAACCAACACCGACACAAAATCGGCATGACACCGAAACGAAACCGAAACGAAAACACGGACGGCACGGAAACACTCCCGAAACAAACAGCGCGAATGCACTGGGAGCAGTGGGTGAACAACAAATAAGTCACGCAACAGAAAACTGTTAACTCTCTGGATGAAAGTTGCAAATTTCCGGGTCAAAGGTATGAACTCTGTGCAGGAGTGGGTTTGAGCAAATGTGCCTTCTCCGGAAACTTGATACATCACTTCTGCAACCTAGGTTATGTTGAGCAAGATGGTAATCCCGCATGTCCTTATCATCTTTCCCCCAACACATGAAGTAAAGTTGATCTATCGGGGCAAAGGGGGGGAAAGGGGGGAAATTCCCCTCCCCCCCCTGGGGACCCATTTCGTTTTTGATTTGCGCATCCCGAATGTGGGGGAGGGTCCTGGGGAACTCCCCCCCAGGACCCCCCACCTGGAACCCCCCCGGGCACCCCCGCGGCGCACGAGCGCCCCGGATCGTCGGCGCTGGCTGGAGGCCACTCAAATCAATAAAGTCGGATGCCACATCGAAGTGGCCCCGCGCCTGATAGGGCGAGGTCAAAACCAAAATCGCGCATCGCGATGCCTGCACCGAATCGGATCGAGTCGGAACCCAGGGAGCTCGGTTCGACTCGGCCCGGCAGAGTCGGAGAGCGCCCAGAGGGCCCGCAGGAGGAGCGGGAAACAACTCTCCAAAGCTTCCGTCGTGATGGTGTTCACGACGCGACGGGAACTGGGAGGGAGGGGGGGGGGGGCGCATCATGCCCCGAGGCATGTGCGCACACGAGGGGGGGGGGGGGCAGGGGACGCGCTCAGGGGAGGAGAGGGGGGCCATGAGATCAGGGAGACCTCACGGCACCGGGCCCGTTCGCCCTCTTGGGCGCCCCCGAACCGGCGCTTAGGTCGGGCATGTCCTCCTACAGGTGGGTCTTGGAAGAAAAACCGAAAATAGTGAACACACCTGCACGAATAACCGAAAAGTAGTGGAAACATCGTCCCCAAACTGTTTGTTCGACTACTTTGGAATACTCCTCCCATGGAGGGACGCGCCTGACTTACAGGGAAGAGGGGGCCACACAATCGGGAAGCCCTACCCCGTGGCACCGGCCCCGTGCCCCCCCCCCTCTTGGGCGCCCAAGCGCCTATGGTTAAGTCGGGCGTGTCCCCCTACGGGGGGATTTTCGACGAAAAATAAAACATGCTCAAACCATACTCCAAAATTGTCAAAAGTACTCAAAAATAGGCCCCAGACTAATTTCTTGACTATTTTTGAATTTTCCCCCTGTAGAGGGACAGGCCCGACTTAAGCCTATGGTTGCGCGAGGAGGAGCCGGGCGGAGAGGCCCCAGGGAAGCAGGAGGAGGGCCCAGCTCTCCCCAGATCTCCGACGGCACGGTTTTGGGTTGCGCCCTCCGCGCAGGCGTGTGCACATGGGCTTGCTCGTTCGTGTCGGACCGGTGTGAGGGCTCGTCGTGGGAACAGCAGGAGAAAAAGCAAAGCTCTCCCCAGATCTCCGACGGCATGGTTTTGGGTTGCTCCATCCGCGCAGGCGTGTGCACATGGGCTTGCTCTTTCATGTCGGACTGTTGTGAGGGTTCGTCGTGGAAACAAGCAGGAAGAGGGCCCAGCTGTCCCCAGATCTCCGACGGCATGGTCTTGGGTTGCTCCTTCCGCGCAGGTGTGTGCACATGGGCTGGCTCCTTCATGCCGAACCGTTGTGAGGGCGCGTCGCAGGAGAAGCAGGAGCAGGGCCCAGCTCTCCCCGGATCTCCGACGGCATGGTTTTTGGTTGCTCCATCCGCGCAGGCGTGTACACATGGGCTTGCTCCTTCATGCCGAACCGTTGTGAGGGCTCGCCGTCGGAAAAGCAGCAGGAGGGCCCAACTATCCCCAAATCTCCGACGGCATGGTGTTGGTTGCTCCATCCGCGCAGGCGTGTACACATGGGCTTGCTCTTTCATGTCGAACCGTTATGAGGGCTCGTCGCAGGAGAAGCAGGAGCAGGGCTCAGCTCTCCCCAGATCTCCGACGGCATGGTTTTTGGTTGCTCCATCCGCGCAGGCGTGTGCACATAGGCTTGCTCCTTCATGCCGAACCGTTGTGAGGGCTCGCCGTCGGAAAAGCAGCAGGAGGGCCCAACTATCCCCAGATCTCCGACGGCATGGTGTTGGTTGCTCCATCCGCGCAGGCGCGTTGGTTGCTCTTTCATGTCGGACTGTTGTGAGGGTTCGTCGTGGGGAAAGCAGGAGTGCCCAGCTCTTCCCAGATCTCCGACGGCATGGTGTTGGTTGCTCCATCCGCGCAGGTGTGTGCACATGGGCTTGCTCTTTCATGTCGGACCGTTGTGAGGGTTCGTCGTGGACAGAAAGCAGGAGGGCCCAGCTCTCCCCAAATCCCGGACGGCGTGGTTTCTGTGGATTTATCCGAATGTTTTTTTCTCGAGTGCTACGCGGGACTTTTCCACGTCTGAGCGCTTCCTCCTGCTCATCCTCCTCCTCGAAGTAATTCCACTAAGCAGGATCACCACACCAGATTCGAGAGTCAGTTGGTCAAATCATCTGCCCACGGAGCTTTTGTTTGCAGCAGGACCGCACATAGTGCACGGCCAGAGAAAGGCTACGATGGTGCTGAAGGTGAGTCGAGTCGCGTCCTCCTCCTCCTCCTTCTCCTCCTTCTCCTCCTGGCCTCCTCCTCCTCCTCCTCCTCCTCCTCCTCCTCCTCACCCTCCTCCTCCTCCTCCTCCTCCTCCTCCTCCCCTCCTCCTCCTCCTCCTCCTCCTCCCTCCTCCTCCTCCTCCTCCTCCTCCTCCTCCTCCTCCTCCTCCTCCCGCGCGGCCGCCCTCCTGCACGCTGGTGAATTCGCCTTCCGGATGCCCCGACTAGCCACACGTTGGAGCGGACTGCCTCTGCCTCTGCCTCGCCGCCGACGAAAAAAAAGCGGTTCCTCGAGTTCAGCCTCGGGAGTCTGTGAATGGGCCACGGGGCCACCATTGATGGGCCTGCGGAGGAAAACTGCCCTCGAGGGAGGAAGGAGCCCTCGCCGAGGTCTGGGACCGTCAGGAAACATCTCCAGGTGGAAAGCCACTCCAGGAGAAGGGGTCCAGGCATCTGGGGCCAACGCTGTGCAACGAGATACGACGCGGGAGTTCGAGAAAGGATGCGTGATCCGATTGGCTCAAGGCACGTCCCAGGAGTTCTGGCGCAGCCAGCGACCATCGTCTCTAGTGTCCACGAAGGAAAAAAGAACCTGCAGCATCTTGCAGGGCATTCGTTGCTATCATACAAGGACATCTTGCGACTGTGAGGGGTGCAGAGGAGGAAGGAGGAGCTGGAGGATGAGGATGAAGCGGTAGGGTCCACGCCGCGATGAAAACGGCGCTGGTGTCGGACACCGCGTGAGTACCTCAGCCTAGAGCGATGTTCAGCCTCCCGATGGCACTGGTCGTGGGATGTTGACCCATTCTGGGCCACAGGCGGCGTTCCGTCTCGAACGCCCGCGCTGGGGCCGCCGCCGCGCCAACATGGCGCGGCCCTGCCGCACCACGGGAAGATGTTGAAGATCCACTGGGGCGACCCCGAGATTGTCTTCTGAGCCCGCTCGGCGCCCGAGCCCGCTCGGTCCTCTCTGGGCCCTGGCAGGTGGCCTTTGTGAACTTGGGGAATGGGCGGGATGGGCGGAATGAGCACGCAAGTAGACTCAATCAGAAGAGGGGGAGGCGGGGGGGGCAGGAACGGGCGGGGGAGTTAAAACAACATCAATGGCCGCGAAGCCCATGTCTTCGGACAGACACGCGGACACGCTCGCGGAGGCAGCGTGTCTTTGCTACTCTGATCCCCTCCCAAGGGAGGCTGGTGGTGAAGGGCAGACGCAGACCCCCGAGGTCCTGATTTCTTCACGACCCCCTCCCACAGGGACCAGGTTTTCAGCCCGAGGCGTCTTCTGACGGTTCCGGGGCCAGGTGATTGGGATGCCAATTTGCACCAATACTGCTACTCCCCAGACTCTCCTGGGGTGCGTTCTGACTAGGATTTCGAAGCGAATCTAGCGGTGGCGACGAGGGCCGCCCGGACGCCCCAAAAAGGGGAAAACGAGGGAAGGATAGAGGTATGGGTGTCTTTTCCTCCTCTGACCTTGGCTGCCCTGATACGCAACACGCAACACGCATCGTACTGATACGGAGCTCAACACGTAGGCTGAAGACGTAGGTCCGACGCGGTACATTCGCCAAAACGTGGTCCAATACGTGGAGCCAACACGCAACGTATTGACACGGACGTCTTGAAAAAGGGACGTGTTGCGTTTCTAAACGGGCGTACCGAGGCAACTAAGCCTCTGAGTGATGGCCCCCGACTGCCGAAAACTGCCCCCAGCCTTCCAGCAATATCTCTTCCCGACCCGAAGGGGCGCGACGCGGAGCGGAGCCGTCGGAGTCGGGCCCGTGCCCTGTTGGGCAGGGCGCTGACGGCGGTGCGCTGCGCACGCTGGCCTGCTCGCGGAAGGATTGTTGCCCCCGCGGTTGGCTCGCGGAACCGCCCCGCCGCGGCGGCGCGACCCCTGCAACCGAGGTGGCCTGACCCTGCACGCGCACACGCCCACGCAACGGCTCACAGAATGTCAAGTCGGCGGCGCAAGAGGGTCCTCAAGCGCGGGCAGCAGATGGAGGTTCAAAGTGCGATCGAGCGCTGTCGAAGGCACACTGCGCGAGACGCCGCGCACTGGAAAATGCAAGCGGTGCGTGGTGTGCAACCAGCGGCCGGCTCGCGGAACCGCCCCGCCGCGGCGGCGTGACCCCTGCAACCGAGGTGGCCTGACCCTGCATGTGCGCACGCCCACGCAACCGCTCATGTATTTCAAGTCGGCGGCGCAGAGGGTCCTCAAGCGCGGGCAGCAGATAAAAGTGCATACTGCGATCGAGCGTTGTCGAAGGCACAGTGTACGAGACGCCGCACACTGGACAGTGCAAACGATGGGTGGTGTGCAAGAGGGACTGTAATCCCAAACGTAGACATGCAGCGCCGAGAAAACTGAGGAGGAGACTCAAACTCAAAGTGAGCAACCGCTCATTCACACGCACACGCACTTGGCAGGTGCAAACGAACGGCCTCATGCACACGCACGTGCGCGTACAACCGATGACGCGTGCACTCTCAGTGCGCGCGCGAGTGTATACACACTGCCACGCACGTGCAACTACTTGGATGAAAAACGCTGTTCATACGCTGGTATACTTGTCCGAGCTCTTCGCGCATGCCTGGGAATACCCAGCCTCCCCCGCGGGCCGCAAGCGAATCCAACACGCAGCAGCAGAAGCAAACAAACAAGCACACACAATAAGCATGAGGAGCGCACCGAGCAACATCAGCAACACCAAACCCTAACAAGCAAGCACCGGCGCGCCAGGAAGCCTCCATGGGCAGCTTGAACCTCTCCAGGTCAGCGGCAACCGTCTTCTTGGCCATGGTCAGCTTGATCATAGACATGGCCGCCTCGTCGCTGCCAGCCTCGGGCTGTGGAGGGAGGCCGAGGGAGGGGCGAGGAGAAATGCGGAGGCCTCGTGGCAGCTCAGGAAGGACTCTGGTCACGGCATGTCGCTGCATTCCAGCGAGCGTGTCGATGATAAGAGCGGCCAGATTTGGCCCGCCCGAAGGTTTCGATGCGGGGAGTCACGGTCAGAAGAGGATGTTTTCATGAATGCAGCCAGACATTCGGAACCGTACTACTTAGCGCCAAGCCAGCCCTTGTTACAAGAAAGGGAAAGCATGCTGCATGACAGAGAGGAGAAGACAAACATAACAAATCGAGACAGAGAGAGAGAGAGAAGGAACAAGCAACGACGCGCGAACCTTCCTGATTCCCAGGGTCGGGAAATGAGGCGGCACTCCGAACAGTTGCTGGATAAACGCAAGTGCAAGACACATATATGGGAGGTCGTTTGACCATCTGACGGACTATGCTCTGCAGGCGCTCTGGAGCCGTTGCCTACTGCTTCGGCGGCATCATCGCAATATGGTTACCCCGACAGGAAAATATCCAGGCATAGTAGAAACATAACCAAGACTGGTAGACAAACTCTTGGCAAGACGATGGTCTGACTCTTCTTCAGCCCTCCTCATGTAGAGGGACATGCCCGACTTCACAACAGGGTGAGGAGGAGCCCGACCCCCGACGAGGGCGGCGCGCTTGGCTGTTGCCTCGTGTCGGGAGCGCGAACATTAACCAGCCTCGAACTTATCCCTATCCCTAAGATGGGCGAGCAAAAAGCAAGGACAATCGTAGGGATATGCCCTCAGAAACTGAGGGAATCCTGAAGATCGGCATCGAGGTGAGGTGATGCAAAACATAGGGATAGGGATATGTTTCAAACTGGTAAAACATGGATTGGCGATCCATGGATCTGGCGCGCGGTCGCCAAATCCATGGATCGGGGGAGGTGCCCTCCCCACAAATGCGGCCCGTGCCGCCTCGCTCGGCGGCGGAAGTCCGCGATGGCCCACAGAAACGGGACCCGTCGCTGATCCACGCCCCCTCGATCCATGTTTGCGATCGCCTGATTGTGGCCTCACTAATCTCGCCGAGCGCGTTCCACCACTCGCACAGCACCTACTCGCAATCGTCCGACAAAAAACACACCTGTCTGCTTCGGCATCAATTATCGCAGATCCCCCGCGGGGGGATCCAGGCCATTTGCGAGTAGCTACTCTGCGAGTAATGGAACGCGCTCGTCGATAGTCCAGCTAGTTAACCTTCAGCGGGTCGCCTCGACGCATGCGACGGCCCTTGGCCGCCGGGTGCCGCCCCCTTGGCGTGCCCCCCCCCCCCGCACGAGCGGCCTCGCGGCTGCCGTCTGCATCCCTCTCCGCTCCCCCCCCTCGGCGCGAGACCGGGGCCTGGGCGCGACCCCGACACGCTCGCATGAGGTCGGGCATGTCCCCCCACAGGGGGATTTTGAAGGAAAAATCGAGAATGCTCAAAACAGATTTCAAACACAAATATCAGAACATTGCCATTTTGCAACCAATTTTTCTGAGCCAAAACCCCAGAATAATCGTCCCCGGACTATTTGTTGTTTACTATGTTTCAACATTCCCCCTGTGGAGGGACAGGCCCGACTCAACGCTTGTCACCCCTGGGGAGACCAAGAGGTACCGATACTGCTACTCCCCGGACCTCTCCAGGGGCGCGCTCCGACCAGCACGTCGAGGCGAATCCAGCGGTGGCGACGAGGGCCTCCCAGAAAGCCCAGACAGGGGAAAACGGGCGCACGGGTAGAGTTAAGTCGGGCGTGTCCCCACACAGTGAGATTTTCGACGAAAAACAAAAAATACCCCAAAAATATCCAGAAGTGGTCAAAACATACTCGAAACATAGCCCCCGGACTATTTTTTGACTATTTTGGAATACGTTTTGCGTATTTCTTATTTTTCGTCGACAATCCCTCTGTAGGGGGACACGCCCGCCTTAAGGGCAGAGGTATGGGCACCTCTCTCCTCCTCTCAGCCGCCGCCAGCGCAGGCTTCCTGACGGGGGCCTGGACTGGAAGCTCGCCACTCCTGGCAAGACGGCGTCCCCGGGGCCTGGACGCGAGCCGACCCGCTCAGGGCCGCCGCCAGCCAAGGCTTCCTGGCGGGGGGGGGCCTGGGGGCCTGGACCGGAAGCTCGACCCCTGGCAAGACGGCGTCCCCCCCCTCTTCTCCTCCTCCTCCTCCTCCTCCTCCTCCTCCTCCTCCCTCCTCCTCTCCTCCTCCTCCTCCTCCTCCTCCTCCTCCTCCTCCTCCTCTCCTCCTCCTCCTCCTCCTCCTCCTCCTCCTCATCCTCCTCCTCCTCCTCCTCCCTCCCCTCCTCCTCCTCCTCCCTCCTCCTCCTCCTCCTCCTCCCTTCCTCCTCTCCTCCTCCTCCTCCTCCTCCTCCTCCTCCTCCCTCCTCCTCCTCCTCCTCCTCCTCCTCCTCCTCCTCCTCCTCCTCCTCCTCTCCTCCTCCTCCTCCTCCTCCTCCTCATCATCATCATCATTCATCATCATCATCATCATCATCATCATCATCATCATCATCATCATCATCATCATCATCATCATCATCATCCTCTTCCTCTTCCTCGCCTCCTCCCCCTCACCCTCCTCCTCCTCCTCCTCCTCCTCTTCCTCCTCTCCTCCTCCCCCTCCTCCCCCTCCTCCTCCTGGTCCTCCTCCTCCTCCTCCTCCTCCCCCTCCTCCTGCTCATTCTTTCCCCCGCCGGCATCGTGATCTTTGTTTGTCACCGCGTGGCCTCCGCTCGGAGGAGGGACCCCAGAGGGTCGACCTGCCTTCGGGCCGCTGCCCCGTGGCCGCCAAGGGAGGGCCCCGCCAGGGTTTCGGCAGGCCTGGAACAGAAATGTGCCGCTGGAGTGTTGCGTTTGCTGCTCGCATCCCGACGGGGTCTGAGACGGCTGCTCCTGCCCGCAGAGGCACCCTACACGGGCGCTTTCAGAAACCCTGAACCCAAAAACGTTTGCATCTCTTCGGAGGTCGACTTTTTACATCCGCCGCCTTCCGCCAAGTTTCCGCCGGCTTCCACCTGCGGAGGCGGCCTCTCTTTACTTCCGCCGACCTCCCGCCGCCTTCCGCCGAGTTAGAGATGGCAACTCCTGCGATCCTCGAAGGTAAGGCAATTTTTGGAACACTTCACGTAGGAATAAGGAATGACGACACCAACACCACCAGGCCAAGGAGATGCGAGGAGCAATGGGGGTCTCACTGGTGGTTTTAGTCCTCTCGCTCGAGACATCCTAAGCCTCCAGCTCCAGGAGGCATCGCGGGCCTCCTCGCTGGAGGTGGCCTCCATGGTGGTGTTTGTGTCGCACCTTCCTCCTCCAACCTGCGGCAAGTTCGTGTCGTGCCGACTTCGGGGTTGGTTCGCGACACTGCGGGGATGGTTCCACCTTGAACGATCGGCCGCTTCCGAAACGTCAGACCGTTTAACATTGACCGATTCTGGGTTGCCAGCGGCATTCAAGGTTGAACGCCGGCGGCGGGGTCGCTACTACACGACGCGAACCTACTGTAGTGCTCCCAGGGAGTCCACTGTCTCGGCCAGAGCAGGCGCTCCCGCGCGAGCTGCGCAGCTCACCCACTGTGGCCCAAGGCCGAGCAGCTGCTGCCGAGGCGCCCCGCAGAACGTGTGCGCGCGGCTCTGGCCGCTCAAGGTGGGGCGCTGTGGCCACCGAGTTGCCCGCGCATGCCACCAGCGTTCATCAGCGGACTCAACACGTGAGCGCACCCCGCCGCGCCGTAGGAGGATCAAGGTATGCGTGTCTCCGCTTCCTCTCTGGCCCTTCTCACTCACTCGCTCCGGGTCCGGACCGGCTGCGACCGCCATGTTTCTGCGGATTCGGCTGCCGACGGGAGGAGAGTGCGTGTGGGCGTGCGAGCCGAGCGTGAGCGTGAGCGTGGGCGTGGGCGTGGGCGTGGGCGTGTGGGCGCGTGAACGTGTGAACGTGTGAACGTGTGAACGTGTGAACATGTGTGTATGTGTGTGTGTGTGTGTGTGCGTGCGTGCGTGCGTGCGTGCGCGCGTGCGTGCGTGCGTGCGTCTGTGTCTGTGTCTGTTAGCGCGGGGCCTATAAAGGCTAAAGAAAGCCCACAAAGGGCCCAGGCCCCACTGAGGGGCCAAAGCCACAAGGGGCCGTCCCAAGACAGGGGGCGGGCCACAAGGGATCCCGAGAGCCCAGACGAGCCGCAGAAGGCTGCCACCAGGGCACATCGGCCCCGAGGCACCGCTCGGCCTGTCAGCTCAGACCCCCGTCGAGGGGCATCAGCGCGAAGCGCTGGAATATATACAACCGTGCAGACACGCGACGCGCGACGCCCCAAACATGCTTGCGCAGCCCCGAGCGGCACGGCGAGGCATACAAGAAATGCAACTGCACGCCTAACTCACTCACTCACTCACCTTGCCCGTCAGCAAGCACCGCACATTGTGGGTGTCGATGCCCTTGCCTTCGGACGCCGCGAAGCCCTCGACGCCCTGCGCCTCGAGCTCCGCCAAGTCTTTGCTCTCCGAGGCCTTCGTGCCCAGCCAAGCCCGCGAGATTCTGGCCCTGGCGGCCCACCACCCGCGCTGCATGGCCATGCCCGCCTCCTTCTCGTTGCTCATCTCCTTGCCCGTCAGCAAGCACCGCACCTTCTGCGCGTCGATGCCCTTGCCTTCGGACGCCGCGAAGCCCTCGACGCCCTGCGCCTCGAGCTCCGCCATGTCTTTGCTCTCCGAGGCCTTCGTGCCCAGCCAGGCCCGCGAGACTCTGGCCCTGGCGGCCCACCACCCGCGCTGCTTGGCCACGCCCGCCTCCTTCTCGATGCTCATCTCCTCGACGCCGCCCTCCAAGCCGGCCTCCGAGTCGCAGACGGCGTGCGCCGGCGCACCGGCCTCGCCCGTGCCCGCGGCCAGGTTGGCTCCAGAGCGGCCCCCGTTCATCAGGAGCCTGCCCTCCTGCACTGCGCCGACGTCGGCCTTGGCCACCTTCACGGCGGCCTGTTCCGCGCCCGCGCACTGGATGTCCACGTCGCTCTTGGTGTACGCCTGCTCGGCGCCCTCCTCCACGACTGCATCCGCGTCGCCCTCCTCGTAAAGGCCCTCCTGCACCGCCCTGCTCCAGTCCCCTGGCGCCCAGCAGCAGTACGCCACAGCCTCCGCGTTCAGCGGGAAGGACTGCACCTTGAGGACCTTCTCAAGGAAGTCTGCGCTCGTCCCCGACGGCATGGGAGGCAGGCGCCTGGCAGCATTGGGCGGCCCCGCGGGCCGCGCCCAGTTGCCAGCGCCCAGGGCCTCCTCCGCTGCCTGAAGGCACTCCTGCGGCAGCCCCACAACCCGAGCCGCATCGAGCGCCTCCGCCATCGTGGGGAAGTGACAGCCCAGCACGTCGCCCAGCCGCCAGTGCTCGGCGAGGGCGACCCTGAGCGTCTGCACGCGGTGGGCCAGCGCCGACGCGCGCGCGTGCCCCCCAGCTCCTCCCGCCGCTGGCGGCGGAGGCGCCTCGCCAGGGTCCGCGCGCTGGACGCTGCCCAGCGCCTCTCTTCCATGCCGCTTGCACGCGCCCCGAGCGCCCCACCCAGGGCGCGCGCGTGAGGACATCCCGTGAGCCCGCTCCCTTTGAGCCAAAATGGCTACGGATTTGTGTCTGTGTCTGTGTCTGTGTCTGTGTCTGTGTCTGTGTCTGTGTCTGTGTCTGTGTCTCTGTCTGTGTCTGTGTCTGTGTCTGTGTCTGTGTCTGTGTCTGTGTCTGTGTCTGTGTCTGTGTCTGTGTGTGCGTTTGTGTGTGTGAGTTTGTGTGTGTACAAAACGCCGCCCCGACGGCGCTGCTCTAGCCGACCCCCCCTCCCCCCAAGTCGGCCGAAGTGAATCTCATGAGTGCCCCAGAAAAGCCCAGAGGGCCGCCAGAGGAGCCCCGAACAGCCGAAAGAACTACCCAGGAGGCCTGACCAGCTCGAAGGCCACGGATGGGAGATCTCCGTCGGAAGGATTCAGCAGATTATTAAACCCCATTGGGGGGCTGCTGCGCCAGACTCGGCCGCGGATGAAGCGGGATTCAACCGGAGCAAACGGGATTGAACGCACTCAATCTGGATCTCACCCGGATGTCGGACCAGGGCAAAGTGACCCCCCAGGAGCTGGCTCCGCAAACCGGGGCCCTCGAGAGAGCGCGCAGCGCTCCACAAGACGGCCCAGGAGGGCCGCAAGAGGCTCCCAAGCCGCCCCCAGACCGCCCCCAGACTGCCGCGGGCGGGCACCGGGAGGCTCCCGCAGAGAGACTACCGGCACGGCAGACCAGCACTCAAGGGCCCCAAGAACCACCAACACGGCCCAAGAATCAGGGCCCAATTGCCCTGCCCCTCCTCTTCCCGCCGTGGCGTGTTCATCCTCCACTAGCCCTCCTCCCGACTGTCCGGGGACGAGCAGGAAAAGGGCAGGGGGGCCTCATAGCCTCATCCCCTTCTCCCGCGATCCTCCTGCCTTCCTCCTCCTCTGCTCCCTTCTGGGGAGGTGCGCTGAGCGCTGCGCTGGCAGGGTGACGGAGGTTTCCGCTGGTCCCTGGATACCCAGCCCATGATCCTGCTCACGTCATGCTCGTAAGCATTGGGGCATCGTCGCTGTCATCAATTCTTGACTCTGCATGATCTGCCACCTCATCGTCATGATTCTCTGCATCACACTCGCTCGCTCCCGTCCCAGCGCTTGCTATCCGAATGCTGATGCTCCATCCCCTGCTCCTGTCGCTTTCGCTGCGGGCCGGATCAGCTACTCGTTCGAGACATTCGAAGCCCTCGCCCTTAGAAATCGCCAGGGGGAGGGGCAGAAAACAAGTGCAGTCAAGCTACTGCCATAAAGGAAGGCTGCGTAAGGAAATCCCACCAGCCCTCTGGGCGTAGGTGGTCTAGGGCGTTTCCTTTTCCACCCCCCTCCTAACTCTTCGGGGAGGGGTTTACCCCTCCCCCTAGATCTGGACGGGGGGGGTCGCGAGCGGTCAGGGCGTCCAACATGGCCCAAGACGGCTCCAAGAGGGCCTCGGAGAGCCCAAGATGGCCTCCAAGATGGATCAAGATAGCACAAGATGCCTCAAGATGGCTTCCAACATGCTCCAAGATGCCCCAAAAAAGTTCCAAGACGGCTCCAAGTGGCCAAAGAGCTCCCCAAGGAAGCACCGAAGAGGCCTAAATCCTTTGGGAAATCAATGTGTGTTGCTTTCTCGCCTTTTCGCTTCTGATGGCCATGGGGTGGGCCAACAGGGCCCCAAGAAAGGCCCAAGAGAGCCCCTAGACGGCCCCACGAGCGCCCAAGAGCGCTACAAGAGCGCCCCAAGAGGCGATTTGTGGAACTCCCGAGGGGGGGCGCAAATTGGAGCTCCCCTCTTGTTTGATCGATGGCCTCCAAGATGGCCCCCAAGAGCGCCCCAAGAGGGCCCCAAGAGGCGCCCAGACGGCTCCAAGAGGCCTCCAAAGGGCTTCCAAGAGACCCCCAAGAGGCCCCTCATACGCTCCAAGAGGCCTCCAGAAGGCTTCAAACGAATCCACGAGACACCCAAGATGCCCCCCATACGCTCCAAGAGGCCCCCCCGAGGCACCCAAGACGCCCAAGAGCCCCACAGGACCGCCAAGAGACCCCCAAGACGTCCTAAGAGGCCACCAAGACGCTCCCAAGCGATATCCCAACAGGCTCCGAGAGGCATCCAAGAGACCTCTGGTCCTTTTGCTCGCCCTCATCCTCCTGCTCCTCCTTCCTCCTACTCCTTCTATTCCTCCTCCTCCCCTCCTCCCCATCATCAGATTCATCGTTCTTCTCCCCACTCCCTCATCCGTCCATCCAGCCTCCTTCTTCTCCTCCTCCCTCCTTCGCAAGTTTCGGTCGTCCACCTCTTTGCTCCCGCACTTGCCTGATCACCTCAAGTCGCCTGGACATCGTTTCTGGATGGGCTTGTGGGGATACTTTTTGCTACGAGGGCGCGCGAAGGCAAGTCGAACGCCGAGCAAGCTGGGGCGGGCCGCGCCGTAGCTAAGGAGTTGGTGGGGTTTGGGCACCCGCATCGCCTGGGTTGCACGAGGACCGCGGGCGGAGCAACCACGGGAGGGCCTCGGGCGCAGCGGGCCCCTTCTGCGCAGCCGAAGAGATCCGCATGGCAGCGGCTTGACTGCAGGCGGGCGAGGAGGTGGGATCGACCGAGCGGCGGCACGAGGTCAGGACGGCAGGGGGCGCTCGAGAGGCCGCCTGGCGCGGCGGCCTGGGGGTCCCCCTGAGCCCAGCAGCGGAAGGCTGGCCGTACCACAGGAGGCCTGTCCGCCAGGCGGCTGCGGAACACGGCCTGCCGACGGGTGCTCCCTCGGGGGCACACGCGCGTTCCAGGCGCCCCAGGACAGGCGCCCCTGGGGGGCGGGAGAGGTGAAGGACATACCGCTCATTCGTCGCCCTGGCTCCTCGCCTCCGATGGCCTACCCAAGTTCAGGCGGCAGCATAGTGAACCAACCGGAACTCGAGCTGGACCGATCGGGAAGCTCTGAGACTCGACGGCGCCTGGAGACTGCATGACAGGCCCCCGCGAGGCCCTCACGAGGGCCCACGACGCCCCAAGATGCCGCAAAGAGGGTCCAAATTTGCTCTTAAATCCCTTCGCAGTGTGAGGAGGGAGCAGGAGCAGGAGCAGGAGCAGGAGCAGGAGCAGGATGAGGAGGAGGGGGAGGAACATGAGCAGGAGCAGGAGAAGGAGGGGGAGGAGGAGGAGGAGGAGGAGGAGGAGGAGGAGGAGGAGGAGGAGGAGGAGGAGGAAGGAGGAGCACGAGGAGGAGGGGAGAGGAGGAGGAGGAGGAGGAGGAGGAGGAGGAGGAGGAGGAGGAGGAGGAGGGGGGCGCCACGGCCGCCGCAGAGCGCTCCAGGGCGCTCTCCGGGAGCGCCCTGGAGAGCGCTCCGGAACGACTATCCTTCTCGTCCTGGGCACGCGCAGAGTGCCCTGGAGGCCCGTGGAGGCCATCGGGGGCCTCCCCGAAGACTCTGGAGCCTGGGGTGAAGTCGGGCCTGTCCCCCGACAGGGTGATTTCTGACGAAAAATAAAAATATACACCAACAGATACCCCAAAATGGTCCACAGATGCCCCCCAAATCATCCCCAGACTATTTCTTGTACTGCTTTTGGAGATTCCCCCTGTAGCAGGACAGGGTCGACTGAAGCCTAGGCAACAACTCACAGAGGCCTCGATGAGGGATACTCGATCCTTCGCACCTCGATCCTCGGACATCCTATTCGTCTGACCTTCTGGCGTAGGGAAGGTGCGCCAAGGGAAACTGACCCGGGTGACCCGGGTCCCAAGGCCTTTCCTGTGACCTGAGAACGCGAAAACCCACCCCCACCCCCAGTCCCGACTCCATTTCCAAACCCTCGATCCGGGGGGTCGGGACTGGGGGTGGGGGTGGGTTTTCTCGATTCCTGGACCCCGAAAACCCACCCCCACCACCAGTCCCGACCCCCCGGATCGAGGGTTCGGAAATAGGGTCGGGACTGGGGGTGGGGGTTGGTTTTCGCCTTCTCATGACCAGCGGCTCATCCTCCCAAGCCGATGTGCACGTTCCCGTGACCCCGGGAGGGCCCCAGGAGCCCGAAAAGAGCGAAACACGTGCAAGACATCGCTCCCTCAAGACACCTGTCCTTCATTATGAATCGAACCGTGATGCAAATCCACATCCTTCCTCCTGCCTCCCCCCGCTTCATCCGATTGCTGTCCCCCCTCGGTAGGACGAGATTGATACGTATAGCTGCCCTCAACCGCGTCATGGCGAGTCCTGCTCCTACGCTTTTTCCGATGCTGGCCTCAGCGCCGAGGGAGCTGTCCAGAGTGTCGATGTATCGCTTCTTGAGCATCGGCTGGCAAACTTCGACGCGCACGGCCTCGAAGCGGCGGTGCCGAGTAGCGACGCCCCCTCCGCCCGACTTCCTCCTTCCCCTCCTCCTTCTCCTCCTCCTCCTCCTCCTCCTCCTCCTCCAATGTCACCTTCATCCCTTTTCTCCTCCTTCTCCAACTCCTGCTCCTGATCCTAGCCATACTCCACCCCAGCCTGCTCAATCTCCTGCCCCTCCTCCTCTCGTCTTCCTCGTCGTCCTGCCCCTCCTCCTCCTCCTCATCCTCCTCTTCCTCCGTGCATCCGCTCCTGCTCCAACTGCTACAGCTCATGCTCCTGGCCTCGTTTCTCTGTGTTTGTGCTCAGATGAAGGCAGCACGCCCCGCTGCGCACCAAACTCCTGCTCCTCCCCGTCCTCCTTCTCTTCCTCCTTCTCCTCCTCCTCCTCCTCGTCCTCCTTCTCTTCCTCCTCATCGTTCTCAACGTCCTGCCCCTCTTCCTCCTTCTCCTGCGCACTATCCTTATCAACACCATCTTCATTCTGATCACCAGCATCCTCATCATCGTCATCATCGTCGACGTCGACGCCGTCACTATCACAAACACCGTAACGGTCACCATCACCAGCACCACCACCATCACCATGATCATCACCACCGTCATCAGCATCAGCATCAGCATCATCATCATCATCATCATCATCATCATCATCATCATCATCATCATCATCATCATCATCATCATCATCACCCACATCATTATATCATCACCACCATCAGCATCACCATCATCATCAACAACATCAACTTCATCATCAGCGTCCGAATCATCATCACCACCACCATCACCATCGTTATCACCACCATCCTCATCAGCAGCAGCATTACCATCATCATCATCATCATCATCATCATCATCATCATCATCATCATCATCATCATCATCATCATCATCATCATCGTCATCATCATCATCACCACCATCACCATCACCATCACCATCACCATCACCATCACCATCACCATCACCATCATCGCACTCATCCTCAACCTCATCACACTATCACGATTTGCCCGCGCCCCCTCTCATCCTCCGAACCCTCCAGAGATCCCCGGCCAACTCAAACTTGTGCCGGATCGGCAACCGCGTGGACAGCGTCGCTGCAAAGCCGCCGGAGCGCCTCCGACGTCCGCGCTCGGCCCCCCGCCCGTGGAGAGCCACGCAGGGGGGCCAGACGCTGCTGGAAGATGTCCCCCCCTTTACCTCGTCCTATTCTTGTTCCTCCTCCTCCTTCTCTTTCTCCTTCTCCATTGACTCCTCCTCATCCTCCACCTCCTCCTCCTCCACCTTCTCCCTTGGCTCCTCCTCCTCCTCCACAATTACACAATACGAATACTACTCTCCTCTCTCCCCTGATGACGTCCGGGAGATATCCGGCCCCCCTCCGCGTAGTGTTTTCTTCCACACAGGATTCCGGGAAATGGGTTTGCGCTTGGGTTCATTGTTCAAAATGTAGCGCCTGCTGCTGCGCTGGCCTCATTATCGGGCTTCCGCTCGTGCCGAATCGTGATCCCTCTGCAGCGCTGGCCTCAAGTCCACGCTCCCGCTCGTTCCGAATCGTGCTCCCACTGCAGCGCTGGCCTTTCTTCCAAATGTGCCCCAAACTGTAGAAAATGCCCCCCCGCAAAAAACCATCGGAAGTGATTCCAAATTCGGTGTCGAATCTGTAATTTTTTGGGCAGCAGAAGCCCCCCCACACTTTGGAGCGCCGTCGTTTTCAGGAACTATCAAGCGGGAACTCCGTTTCAATTTGAGAAGGCGATGTTGAAAGTAGAGCCAGCGGGTGCTCTCCATCAACCCGTCTTGTGAGCCACGACTCCAGACCGGCCTTGACCTCTCGAAGCCGATCCACTTACCTTCCAAGGAATCCGGCGCCATGCCATGACATGCTGTGCGGTGTTGTGCTCTGCGCCGCTGTGCGATGCCATGCTTTGCATTGCAACACTTTGAGATGCAATGCTTCACTGCGCAACGCCACGCAATGCTGTGGCATGCTACGCTCTTCCGTGCTCTTCTACGCCATGCCATGTCGTGCACTAGCATGCGTCGCGTACCCTCTCGACATCCGATGTTGCGAATAGAGATGACATCTACGCCATGGTAAGGGATGGGAGGGAGGGGTAGGACGTCAGATATGGCGCGAGCGCACCTACCTTGCTTGTCCTCCAACTCCTCCCGCTCCTCCTCCTGGCATGTTCTCCCCTGGCTCCTCCTCCTCCTCGTCCTTCTCCTCCTCCTCCTCCTCCTCCTCTTCCTCCGCAGGGGAGGAGGGAGAGGAGGCTGGCGGAGGGATCTTGCGGAAGGAAAGAGGAGGGTAGGGATGCGAGGACGAGGAAGAGTGGAAGGAGAGAGGTCGCAGAAATCCGCGCGTCGAGAAAAGCACGACGAGAGGCACTTGACAGATGCCAGCCTCCCGGGGGCCCTCCCTGTGCCCCAGGACCGGCCACAAGACGATTCGGGATGGAACGCCGGCTCCGAGGAGAGAGCAAGGCCCCGGAAACCTGGGGGGCAACGGTGCGAGCAGACGACACGACTGAAGCTCCACGGGGGAGGACGGAGGGAGGCAGGAGAACCCAGGGAGGAGGCCAGGAGGGAGGCAGCCCTGGGGGCCAGGGGTCCTCAGACCACCGACGCCGCGACTCGTTTCGCGCAGCGTGGCTCCCCAGAAGAGGTCTGGACGGACCCCTTCCCCCAGGACCGGCCCCTGCTCCCGTTCGAAGTGTCGTCCGACGGTCCCGAGGCCGGGCATGTCCTCATACATGTCCCGAAGTGCGAGCACTTCTGGAGGGGGGAAAAAGTTAGGTCGGGCATGTCCTCATACAGGCGGACTGGGAAGAAACATGAAACATAGTCGAAACCAAATCAAACATTGAAAACATATCAGACAAATCGTCCCCATACTATGTTTGACTATGTTGTCTTACTCCTCCTGTAGAGGCACATGCCCGACTTCAGGCTAAAGGCCTTTCGCCGCGCTCCTGCCATGACGCGCAGAGGTTACGGCGGTTCGCGTCGTGACGACCCCGGCGTTGGTCACTGACACCACGGGGATCGTTCAGCCTTGAACGATCGGCCATTTCCGAAGCGTCAGCGCGCTCAACATCGACCGATCCTGGGCCCCCGCCGGCGTTCCACGTTGAACGCCGGCGGCGGGGTCGCCGCTGGTCGACACGACGCGAACCTGCCGTACTCGCCGGTGGAAAGACCTCCCTTTAGTAAACCTCCCTTCAGTGAAAACGGCTTGGGACCGAAACCGACGGACCTGGACCCGCACAGATGACGGCCGCGACGCCCCCCCTCGCGAACCGAAAGCGGCCCATTCGCGAATCGACGTGTCAGGGTAGGAGGTCTGTCAACCCCCGACGTACGGAGAGCACGGGGGGCAGACACCCCGCCCGCCTCGTCGTCGGCGTCCGTCAGCTCCAGCACGCCCGCGAAGTCGGCGGCCGGGGCGGCGCCCCCGGCGGCACCCTCGAGCTCGCGCTGCGGGGCGCGCTCTCTGCACTCGTGGGCTGCTCGCGAGGATGCGGACCTCCGACGGCAGTCCCGACCTCCGCGAGGATGCGTCTTCGGTTTCGGCGCCCACGGCCCACTAGAAATCGGCCTTGGTCTGGAGGATTCGAGGACACCCGCTTGCTTGAAGTCGGGCCTGTCCCCCTACAGGCCGATTTTGGACGAAACATTAACCCCTAAAATGTTCAAAACATGGAAAACATCGTCCCTGACTATTTTTCTTTATTTCTTTATGTTTGTCTCTTCTTTCTTTTTTTTTCAAAAAAACTATTTGGGGATATTCCTTCTGTAAAGGGACAGGCCCGACTTAACGCTTGCTGAGGTCCCCTGAATCCCGCAAGAGAGGGGGGAGAAAACCTGCAAGCCCCCGCGGCCCTCCCCGTCGCCGCGCCTCCCCGTGTGGTCCTCCTCCTGCTCCTGTTTCTCTTCCTCGCTGCGCCCTGCGACGTGGCCTGGCAGCGCGAAGGCGCCACGGACCGGCCAGCCGAGGCTCGCTCGCCCCCCCCCCCGGTCTGGCTCAGGGGCCGCGGCGCGCAGGCCGGGGGGGGGGTGAAACACACAGGGCTGAACCTAATCGGTATTTTTCGTTTTCGTTTTGTTTTCGTTTTCCCTTGCTTTTGTCTCGAATCCGCCTTGACCGCAAAACGACATCGAAACGAAAACGGCCCACGAAATCGCCAAAACACCGTTTAGGTCCAGCCCTGTTGAAACAGTTGGCAGCCCTCGGGCCGCGATCCTCGTGGGTGGGAAGGGGGGCGCCCCCTGCCATGGGGGAGGGCGCCCCCTGCCATGGGGGCGGTGTTCAATCGACTGGCCCCATGCCTGAGCACTCCGCGTCGGACCCTGGCCAGCGGCACCGATGCCAAGCCGGGCACCGCGCGGGTGGCGGGTGCGCGTGGCGGCGGTTACTGCGCGTGGGCAGGACCGACAGACTCACTCGGCCACCGTCAGGGTCCCTCAGGCCCTTTCGGACAACCCGGAGCCGCGCGGCCACCTGTGGCGGGTTCTGGAACACTCGGGCCCCCAAAAATGCTGCCACCTTCCAGGGCGACGCCGGGAGCGAGTAGCCCGGGGGAGAGCAGCACATGTATGCAAGGGCGCCGATGGTCCATGCCTTCGGCGAGGCGCCTAATCGAACACGCGTAATGCCCTCCCCTAGGCTTTTCGCCCCTATCGTCGCGTATCGTGGCTCAAGCTCAAGGCTCTCGCATTGATCGCTCACAACACACACACAACTCAGTTCGGCTACTGAATACTGCTGTTCTGTCTTGTCTGTTCCATCATGGCCGGTCTGGATCTTGAGAGCGAGCTTGCAAAATACATCCCAGACTCCAGAGTCCCTGTCGCGGCGGAGGCTGCGGCGTCCAGCAACACGAGGCGCCCGGGCACCCCGGTCGGCAAACTTCTCTCGAACCCGTTCGAGGAAACCCCCAAGGGCCGCGGAGTCAAAGCTCACCGCATCCACAGCCCGCTGAACGAGATGGACGGGCTGGAGACGACAGGGACGAATCGCACGTTGGAGTTCGGGGGCACCGAGGTTTCTGGGGAGAAGGTCACCATGTTGGGGATCGCAGCCCTCCTCAAGGAACAGCTCAAGCCGGTGACTCTGGCAGTGAGTGGTCTCCGCAACGATTTCACAAAGTTGGACCACTCCATCGTGGAGATGCGGGAGGCCCTGTCGGAGCGTTTGGACACCATGGAGCAGCGTTTGAACCTGACAGACGTTCGGGTCGACAAGCTCGAGTCCTTATGCAAGACTCTGGAAGAATCTGCCGCGCCGAACATCAACGCCATGGAGTCCAAGATCTACGAGTGCATCGAGGCCTACTTGAAGAACGAGGATACGCAGCACAGTGGTAGCAATGCGTACCGGGCCACGGTCACGGACCCGCTGGACAAGAGGGCCGTGAACATGGTTATTGGCAACTTGGACGGGCTCGAGGACCTCACGAAGGCCACCGCGTGGTTGCAGGACAAGCTCTCCTACCTCAACGGCCCGGCTCCGGTGAAGGTGTACGCCAAAGGCGACTTCAAGGGCATCGTGTTCGTAGAATTCCGGTCGCCTGCACTTCGTGATCGTGCCGTGGATTTGCTCCGGAGTGCTGGCCTCACAAGCGGGGGCAAGAAAGTGTGGGCGTCGCAAGACCGCTCGCTACCGGAGAGGGCGGCGCGCAACTTCTGCCTCGGCCTGAAGCGTGTGCTGAAGGAGGAGTGGGAGGTGCCGTACACGATCTCTGTCAGTGACGAGTCGCCGCACATCGTCAAGGTAGGGGGCGAACACGCGCTGACGGCGACAGTGGTGAACAACACGGTTCAGTACGACTGGCAGGGGGAGTGGAAGACGTGGACTGAGCTCCACGATCACCCTATGATCAAGGAGTTGGCCGTGAAATCGACGGAGCTGTTGGCGAAAGCGGCGAAGGGCATGAAAGGCACCAAGGGCGGAGGCACGGCGACCAAGGGGGGCGCGAAGGGCCACCGCGCCTAGCAAACACAGCACATGAGCAGAGTTTCACCCATAGTTTCACCCGCTGGTGGAGGTGGCGCCCCTACACCTGCTATTAACGATTTTGTTCACTCCCGAATTCAACATTGCATTGACGATATGATTTCACCTGCAGTCGGCCCTACTGCAGAGGCAGCGCCGTTATCCCGAGCAGAGCGTGCAGAGGAGTTCCGCGGCGGACGCCTTCGGCCTTGCCACCGGCAGCTCCGCGCTGGCACGTGGAATGTGGAGGGGCTCACGGAGGCAAAGCTTACGGAGCTGGAGTGGCACATGGTGTCCTTGGACATTGATGTGCTGTGCATCCAAGAGACGCATAAACCAGCTTCGGAGTATTATGTAAGAGAGACGGGGTATCTGGTCATTTTGTCCGGCTCTCCCAACCCAGACGACAAGGAGACGGCCGGCGTGGGCTTCATCGTCTCCCCGAGGCTCCGTTCAAGCATCGTGGGCTTCCGGCAGGAAAATGCACGCATGGCTTATCTGAAGATGCGGGTGCGTGGGGGCAAGGCGGTGGTCTGCAGCGCTTACGCCCCGCACAGCGGGAAGTGCTTCGAAGACCGGCAGCAATATTATTCTGACTTGGGGGAGTTTGTGCGCAAAATCTCAGGGCACGGGCCGGTCATGGTTTACGGCGATTTCAACGCCCGGCTGCACCGTCGTTTCCCACAGGAAGAGGACGTCCTTGGCCATCACGTCTTCGGCTGCCCCCGGGCTGAGCACAACCCAGCATCAAACCGCAGCCTCTTGATAGAGATGTGTGTAAATCTGAGGCTCGCCGTTGGCAACACGCACTTCGATGTTCCCGCAGACAGACAGATAACTTGCTACAATGTGGGCTGTCAGCCGTCTGACCCTCCCGAGCCACGCAATTTTGGCCAGATCGATTTTGTCCTCATGCCCGCCGCTTGGATGCATCAGCTTCGACATGTTCACAGTGACCGCTCACGAGCTCTGGCTTCGCATCACTTTCTCGTTGTGGCTGATCTGGAGATCGACGTCCCCCGGGAGCCCAAGAAACGGCGCCCTCGACAGCTTGATCTTAAAGCGCTGAGGGGGCCGACTGGCGAGAAATTTGCACGGGCGTTCGACGCGGCGATGCTCTCGGAAACCGCGCGGGGCAACGTGGTGACCGCTACTGACCTCGAGGAGGCTATGACTCGTTCTTTCCACTCTGCCGCCGGCGACTGCATTCCCCGCCTGCAGCTCGCGCCAAAGCGCCCCTGGATCTCTGGGCAGACGCTGTCCCTGATTCAGCAGAGAACGGAAGCGAGGCTGAGCGGGAGGGTGGATCAGGAGAGACAGCTGCACGCAGAAGTGAAACGCTCCGTACGCAACGACAGGTCAGCGTGGCTCGACACACTCCTCGCCACTGGGCAATGGGACCAGCTGAAGCGCCTCCGGAAGGGCTTTGCTCCGAAACAGGGACGGCTGAGGGGCAGGGGTGGAGAGCTGGTGGACTCCGACCGCCGCGCAGAGACAATGGCCGAGTATCTGAACAAGGTGCAGTGGGCCACCCGCGCCACAACGCTTATGTCCAGCGAGCCCCTTGGCGACGAGCTGAACGTGAGCGACGCCCCCATCAGCAGCGAAGAAGTGGCAGCGGCAGCCAAGCGCATGCGCTGGGGCAAAGCTTGCGGCGCTGACGGGGTGCCCGGCGATTTCTGGAAAGCTACGTGCAGGGCGGGCTCCGCGGCGCAGAGATGGGCGCTCGCATTATGCGAGAAATGCTGGCGGGAGGGGTCGGTCCCCGAGGCGTGGCACGATTCCTTGGTGACGACCATATTCAAGAAGGGCGACGCTTCCAAATGCGAGAATTATCGCCCGATCTGTCTGCTGCAGGCCGGGTATAAGCTCTTCGCCAACATCGTCCTCGAGCGCCTGAAGCAGGCCGGGGCCGAGGATCGCATCTGGCCCACGCAGTTCGGGTTCAAGTCGAGAAGCGGCACAGCTGATGCCGTCTTCCTGGCGAGGCGGCGCCTGGAAGAAGTCTGGGCGTCTAGAGATGGACAGCTCGTGCTACTGGCGCTCGACTGGGCGAAAGCGTTCGACAGCGTCATGCCCGACGCGATGATCGCGGCCCTGAAACGCTTTGGGCTCCCAGAGCGGGTGTTGAACATCGTGGGCTCGATCTACAGTGGCAGAATGTTTGCTGTGAGAGACGCGGGGCAGACGTCTTCCAGGCAGGCGCAGGGAGCGGGCATCTGCCAAGGCTGCCCGCTCTCTCCGTTCCTCTTCGTCATGGTGATGACCGTCCTCCTGGGCGACGCCCGGCGGAGCCTGGGAGATGCTGGCGGAGATATCAGTGACCTTGTTTACGCCGACGACACGTTGATTGTCGGGGCATCTGCGCTTCAGGCAGAGTCCTACATGAGAGCTATAGAGTCCGCTGGGTCCAACTACGGCCTCGTCTTCAATTGGGGCAAGCTGGAGATGTTGGCTGCGAGGTGTGAAGGGGACATCTCTAAGCCCGACGGTGGTCTCATCCCCCGCAAGGAGCACCTGGTCTACTTGGGCAGCGTGCTCTCGGCAGACGGTTCAGCCGGGCCGGAGCTCAATCGACGGCTGGGCCAGGCGAAGGCAGAATTCGAAGCATTGTGGCGGGTGTGGTCCCGTTCCACGGTGTCGACCCGGAGGAAGCTAATGATCTTCGAAGCGTGTGTGCAGACGAAGCTGCTTTACAGCCTCCACACCACCTGGCTGAAGAAGCAGGAGCTGGCCAAGGTGGACGCGTTCCACGTGAGGTGCCTCCGGCGCATTCTTGGCATTGGCCACTCGTACTGGAGCAGGGTGACCAACGCCAGCGTGCTGCAGCTGGCGGGGCGGATGAAGCTGAGCAGTGTCTTACTCCAGAGGCAACTGTGTTTGTTTGGACAGATAGCAAGATGCGCGGGAGGGCACCCTCTCCGAGACGCTATTTTTGACCCTCCGCCCCCCTCCCCCTCCCCCTCCTCCCCTTCCCCCTCCCCTCGCCCCTCTCCCCCGTGCATACTAAAACAGCCGCCCGTCGCTAGGAAGAGAGGTCGTCCTAGGCAGACGTGGGCCGGAGAAGTCGGCAGGCACGCCGCTGCCGTCTGCGACGATTGCGGTTTTCCCAAAGAGAATATAGATGTTATCCCAGCAGACAGCTGGAAGACAGCTGTGCGGAGGTATTGCGCGCCACGCTAGCTTGTCTCAACTGCTCATGTGCTTGTCACGAGGCTTCGCAACAACAACAACAACGTCGCGTTCGACATTTCTTGGGGAGCGCACCGTGCGTTTCCTTCAGCCAGCGGAGCTGCCCCCGTTCCGCTGCCGCCGCCCCTGCGCCGCCCTTGCCTTCGCCGCCCGCCGAGAAGGAGATGGCAACTCCCTGGGAACCTTGAAGGAAGGGACCGTTCTTGAGCGCCTCGTGTCGACACGTGGCATCGCTCAGACGTCCACTCCCTATACATTTTCCGGCGTCGCGCAAGTATTTCTCGCAAGGTGATCCAGGATGCTCCCCGATGGCCCTCGCAGAACAACACACGCACATGCGCAAGCGATGCCAGGTAAAGCCGCGTGACATATGTGTCCAGGGAGCTCCATAATGACTCGATTGCAGGGAACCGGAGAGTCACGCATGCCCACCCGTGCCTGCAACACGAGCGGGCCAGGCAGAACCCGCAGGGCCCAGGGCAGTGCCCAGAGGCGGGGAACACTTTTTGGTCGCAGCCGCAAGCGAAGCCGCAGGCGGCGTCAGAGGTCGACCCGGGCTAGGGGCGGGGCCTAATTACCAGGCGAGCGCTCTCACAGCTCAGGGGGCCACATGCGAACCCTACCCCTACCCCCCACGATTTCTGAGGGGGAGGGTGGGGTTCACTTCGCTCGGGGGCTCCCGTGCGAAGTGAACCCCACCCTCTTCCTCAGAAATCGTGGGGGGTAGGGGTAGGGTTCGCATGTGGCCCCCTACAGCTTCCGAGGCTGCCGCCGAAGGAGGCTGAGGGGCGCCGGGGGCCGAAGGCAGGCTGCGAAAGCTGCCAGGAGAGGAGGCGGGGGAAACACGAGCAAGCCCAACAAAATGCGCGGCCACACGACGAAGAGGCTCGTGACCCGCAGGCGGGGCGGCGCCGGCCCCTGCGGCACGCGCTGCCCTGCAAAAGCGGCCGGCGCGCCGCCCTGCTCCGCGGGGCGGGGCGGGAGGGCAAAGCTGGACAGGCCGAGGGAGCCCATGGACACACAGAATGGATAGACACAGGTCTCAGGACCCCCCCTCCCCATTTTCCCACCTTTCCTGGACTCTCGTCTTCCTCCCCCCACCACTTCCCATCTCTTTGTGTGTCTTTGTGATTGTTCCCTCCTGGCCAAAAAAAACTCATGCCTGGGAATCTGGACCTGCTGCGCGCGTCGCGCCGCGGCGCGGCGGAGCAGAAGTGGCGGCACGCCGTGCCGAGCCAGCGTCCCCTACCGCACTTGTAGCCCGCCAGCGCTCGGAAGCCCATCCCCCGTGCCTGCTTTGGTTCTGGGCGTGTTTTTTTTTGTTGTTGGTTGTTTTTTTTGCGTGTTCGCGAAGTGCCGTTGACGGCAACACCATTTCCTTCGCCTTCCGGGTCTTCGTCCTCGGTTACTGTCCTTGGCGTACCTTCCCCTGCACATCCACTTCGGCACCGCCTGTTCCCCGGGCCCCGCCCGCTCCGGCCGCCTGAGGCTCCGCCTTCCTGTGCCCTGTCTCCCTGATAGAAACTGTGCGTAGCCCGCCCAGCTTTTAGCGGAAGAGGTTCGCTCTCGCCCCGCAGATAAAAAAGTGTTTTTTTCCGCCAGAAGAGTCAAGAAGCTTCTCGTGGGCCTCGCCGACACAAAAAGAACACGTCTGAGCGACATGCCAAGGTACAATGGGAGCAAAGGGCCGCTTCGGGAAACCCTGGGCCAAATAATGTTTTCATCTCTTGGGTGCGCATGTTCTACTTCCGCCACCTTCCGCCACCTTCCGCCGGCTTCCGCCGGCGGAGGCGGCCTCGTTTAACCTCCGCCGACCTTCCGCCGCCTTCCGCCGCGGAGGAGATGGCAAGTCCTTCGACCTTCGAAGGCCAGGCCCTTTTTTTGGGAACGCCTCAAACAGCCGCAGAGCCACCGTATCCAAAAACGGCGACGGCGGCACGCTTAGTCCTCGAGGTACTTCCCGTACAGCCGCCTGGCCGCGAGCTGGTCGGCTGGCAGGGTCAGGGCCGCGACCTCCTCGGGCGCGGGCACGACGGGCCTCCAGGGGCCTCCAGAATCGCCCGGATATCCTGATCGCCGCAATGCGATCGGCCATCGTCGACTTTCGACCGCCCATCGACGAGCGACGGCGACCGAGCGATCGATCGCCGACCGGCGACCAGCCATCGTGGTCGGCGTCGGCGCGCGAGGTGCCGCAGGGGTACACCTCCCCTCACCGCCCCGATGCCTGCTCACGATTCAGAGACTATCGTTGGGAACGTGGCACAACGAACGAGGCCCATTCTGGGGATTCCAGAGCGCCTAAATGCACGAGGGGCGCAAGAAGAACAACCATAGAAGGCCTTAAAGGACAGCGAGCCCCTGCCTACTTTTGAACGCACTGTGGGGGCATTGGGCACGAATCCCTTAGATGAAGAATCCAGGGTCTGGAGGCCGGCAGAACTCCAATCGTGGATTGGCCAGGGCTATCGCCGTCGCCCTCATCAGACTTGAAACCTCCCAGGGTAAGAAGGCTCCTGCGCACAATCCTAAACCAACGCCCCCACCGCGTGGACTGCACACGACCAAGATCAACGCAGGGCAGCACAAGGGTCAAGTCGGGCCTGTCCCTCTACAGTGGGACTATTCAAAAATAGTCAAACAATAGTCTGGGGACAATTTTGTGAGTACCTTTTAACCATTTTGGCTTCTTTTTTGGGTATATTTTTTTTTTTCGTCGACAACCCCCCTGTGGGGGGACACGCCCGACTTAACACAGGGGAGGAAGGGAGAGAGGCGGGACGGATGGCGGGCGGTCTCTGCCTCCGTGGGCGCGCACCGTTCCCGCATCTGCCGCCGTCCATGTTCCTCTTCCTCATCGTCTTTGTCCTCCTCGCTCTCCTCCTGCTCCTCGCTTTCGTCGCGTTCCTCTTCCTCCTTCTCCTCCTCCTCCTCCTCCTCCTCCTCCTCCTCCTCCTTCTCCTCCCCCCTCTCCCCTTCTCCTCGGCATGCTATCGGAATGGGCCCGTGGCGTCGGTGTCCTCATCCCTTTGTTTTTTCTCTTCCTCCTCCGTCTCCTCCTCCCTTTTCCACCTCCGCCGCATCCACATCACCCACACCCTCACCATCATCATCATCATCATCATCATCATCATCATCATCAGCATCATCATCATCATCATCAACAACATCATCATCATCATCAACATCATCATCACCACCAACATCATCATCAACATCAGCATCATCACCGTCATCACCATCATCACCATAGCCAAATCATCATCCATGTACACCGTCTCCATGTATTCCTGATACTGTTCCTGCCCATCCTCCTCCTTCTCCGCAGGAACCACCAGATTCCTCCGCTCCTCCGGTTCATGCGCCCACCACATCCAAATGTTTGTGTCTCATGTACGTCCGATGTATAAGTTTATGTTAGGTCTGAATACCATCGACCGAAATCATCCAACATCGGAGGGAAGGTGACAAAAAAAAACGCACACATGTTCTGTCAGGAACCCAGAGCAAGTGCGTACCTGCTGCACACTCACAGTCGAACGAAAACAAACAAAACACAGGGGGGAACCGCAGCACAATAGACGTGCAGGCGCAAGTTGCAAAAACGAAAGCGTTCCCAACACCTTTTCTCGACACCACTTTCGACACCACTTTCGACACGCGAGAACACGATTCGAAATACTCTAGATGCGAGGCGGTCGCCTTTTGCGTAAAACGCGAGCACGTCACGCGATGCGCTTGCACAAACCACGCGTTTCATCCGAACGGGTGACGAAACCATTGAACATGCGACCGACGCCTGCGAAATTAAAGAACCCGCGACTGGCGAATATAAGCTCCCCGGAAGCAAGGGCGCCGATGCGAGACCTGTGCAGGGCAAACGTGCGCAACCACATCTTCGCCTGGCCACCACAGTGCACCTGTCGAGCACAACACCTTCAGACTTTGTGGCCACGGACTTTCTCACGACAGCTGCCTGCTGCTGCAGCTGCACACGACAGGGACAAACCTCGAACATCGCTCAGCCTCAGACCTGGCCGCGAACCAGCACGACGCCGTCACCTCATGACGCGCTTTGGCGCACTCTACCCTGAAGACCGCGGCGCCCATCGACAATCCTGGCCAAGTATAGTTGCAGAGCGCGGCTAAGCAACAACGACAAGGGAGGCGGAGTCGGAGGGGCCAGCCCACGGTTTGCGGCGTGCTCAGATACGGCTGCAACAAGAAGGATGACGGCGACCTGTCGCTGCGTTGCGCCACGGGGGGTGGAGAGAGGGGCGGTCTTCTACAGGAACATGGAGAGGCGACACCAACGCCAGCAGCGCGCGGAGATGCGCGGAGGCAAGGGGGGTCTACCTGGTGTTGCGGTCCCCCCCTCTCGCTCGAGACATCCCCAGTCTCTCGCTCGGGGCTGCGTCGAGCAACGGGTGGGGCAGGAGGGGGGGGGCAAGAGAACCCAACGAGGACCGAGGAAAGAAGAGCGAGACAAGATGGGCAAGACCAGACATGGGCAAGAGAATACGACGGGCCATGGCAGCACATGCAGGGTTCAATCTGCTGAAAGCGCCGGGCCGTGGCCCAGGCACCGAGGAGCAGCCGGAGGACCTGGAACGCTGCTGCGGGTGGCATCTCTGCTAGTACTGATCGAACTCTACGCCATGAAAGGGAGGAGGCTTCCTCGAACGCTATCGGGAGCCAACTCGGGAGCCTGGAAGAGAACGTTATCACTAGAGTACCATGATACATGCTAAAGGTAATATCTTGATATATGATACGCTGCACTCCGATTTTACGCGTGGTCTCAGGATCCACAAGAAGCGAACGGACGCGGGGGTGGGCAGGGGCAGCGGCAGCAGCAAGTCGCGAGCGAAGGACAGGGGTCGAGGTGACGAGGGACGAGCCGATCTGCTGAGGAAAACCTGATGCAGCAGCATCTAGAAATTCAGCAAATCAGGGCTGGGGCCAGAATCTAGGGGACAACCTCTGGACCGCTATCTCTGGGAGCGCGAGGGACCGAACAGCAGCAGCACTGAGTTGAAGAATAAGTGAACTCCAAACAGTGAAATGCAGCGTAGCGGCTCTCATGAGGGTTGCCGCGTTCTGCGCAACTACGCTGGGGATCCTGGGGCCTCCCCAAGCAAAAAGCTGAAACCAACATTCGCGGGGCATGGCGCAGAGCGGGGTCTGATATAAGGTGGCCAAAAGGGCCGATTCTCGGCGTGGCATCGACGTTAGCAGGGGCATAAATTGAAAAACGTAGGAGAGGACAGGGGCAACGCGGACCGGATAGACATAATCAATCACTCTCAGCGGAGCTCCTGTGACGGCCAGTTCGAGGGTGCGCGATCTCCACTTCGCAATCGGAGATCGCCAGCTGTGATCTGTCACTGCAGGAGCAAGCCACATGGCCAAACACTTCAGGACTTCGTTGATCGGTATCGGTGTCCAGTCTGGAAAAATATTGGAGATGGCAAATTGGCATTCATCCCGCAGGGCCGGTGTCCGTGGTCCACTCAGGGGTGCTATCGCGCATTTCTTCAGCATTAGGACCAGCGCTGCTACTCTCCGTGCCGTAGACAAGATACGATGCGTTACTCGAAGATGTTCCAGCCGACGCAGCGCAGCACCCGCGTCATCAGCGCAGGCACTTATCACGCCACGATCATTGCGACAAACTGTAATGTCGAAGTTGGCTGTGACAGGATCCGCCGCAAGGACAAATATACAGAAATAACCCGGACAGCCCTGGATAATGCAACTGCAGATCCAGACAAGAAGAGTGAGACCAGTGCCAATCGCTCCGTAGCAGTATACCCCAGAGAAGAGAAACTTTGTGAAGGTGACCAGCGACAGTGGCAGCATCATGGCATTGAGTACTTTGAGGACCCAGCTGCGCGCCAAGCTGGGGAAGGCCTGACCAAAATCAGATCCCGCTAGAAGAGGCATGGCTACGGAGGCGTCCTCTTGCATAGAATAGATACGTCCTCTTGCATAGGCGTCCATAGGCGTCCAAGTTTCTTGTGCATACAAATCCTGGATGTATACGATTAACAACGCGATGAAACGGTTGATTAAGTCGACGGTGCGCTACACCCGCTGCTATCTTATTGTCCGTGCTTTTGAGGCCCAGGAGACGTGGGTCTGAAGAATGCCTGATAACTCCGTGAAGGGTATCTTCGGGCTCTTCTCCTTTGGGGGCGAATACACCTAGTCGCGCATACATCCGAGCGGCATGGGCCCCCCTTCTGGTTGTCACCAAAGAACGCCATGCAGTGTTTGAGCGCCTAACTCTGAGGCCTGCCACGCACCGCAGAGAAGACAATCGGGGCCAGGGCACGAATGCGTCTGTTCCCGGATGTAAGTTTGTACGTCACGATACATCGGAGAAGGGGGGTCTCGGAGGTCGGCGGTGTTCTTGTAGCGAGAGAGGTAGACATCCGCCGCGCTGCCCACTATGAACTTGGGAGGGAACACAGGGCTCCAATGACCAGATATAGCTGAGAGATGCGCATATGGGGGGTCAAAATAATCTGAGTCAGCCCGAAGCCCCACAAGTCGGACAGACTTGTCGAACGGAGCCCACGAATACGCTCTGCGAGAAGGCGAAGCCGCTTGCGCACCTTGGCCTGCGCCTGCAAGCTGGCATGCTGCAGCTGATCCCGACCCCGACGCTGTTCTCCTCAAGCGCCAGCGAATTGAAGGGCGTCCAAGGCGTCAGCGAAGCGCGCGGGCCTGCACAGAGAAAAGCGCTGGACGTCTGAATCGATCGATACGCGTTCGCGAGCGAGTTCGTACCGAAGTAATCGCTGAGCGAGCTGACTGTCTTGTTGCCAAACAGCTCGTGCAACTGATCTACGGAGAATCAGCCTACTCGGGGCGTTCGTCGGATCGTGAGTGAACACCGCGTCCCTGGCAAATCTGTCTGCTTCCTGCAACACTTCCTCGCGCAAGCGCAGACGGATCGGTGGCGAGCACAGAGCGAGATCCAGCCTTCCCCAGAAGTCTTCCAAGATACATCGAAAGCCATGCTGCGTTGACACTGACCTTGGGGTGGGCTGAGATACCTGAGGCTGCGGGGGGCGACGCTGCGTGACGACCTGGAGCGGGGCGTGATCAGAGATGTCCTACTGCTCAAAAGTCTCGGGGAGGCCCCCCATCTTTGCTGAGACGTGCATATGAGCCAGAGTGCCAGAGGCCCAGAGGCCAACTAGGAGCGGCCAGAAACACCCTAACAATTTTCGAGGTGCGCTGTAGATGCCCATTGTAGTGCGTGCGTTCGTCCGAGGCGGCCTCCAGGAGCTGCTGCAAGAAGGGGTGCCATGGGGACCTTCTGCGCCTACGCCATAGTGCGAGGGCTCTGTAGGCATCCAAGTTAGTTCTCGGGGGGGGGGGGGGGGGCGCTGTGGACGTAGGTGCTTCAGCCGCAATATTGAACTCGCCTGCCAGTGCGACGTAGCAGCGATCAGGGCGACGACGTGCTGTATCAACATGCCGCTGTATGATAATCTTGATACGCGTGGTATGACGTGCGTTAAGACCATGATTGTAAATGTTGAAGTGCATGACGTGCGTGTGCTCTGCGTCGTTCTGGCAAGTGCCCATGTCCAACTCAGTCTGTAGGGCTCGCCCAGGATTCATAACCTCTGAAGAAGCACGAGCACCAGAGCCAGCCCAATCAGAAACCTTCGGGAAAAAGTTGACGACGCCCCCCCTCCTCCGCATGTCCTCGAAGAACGAAGCTTGGAATTTTAACTTAGAGTTCGACGCGCGCAAAAGATCCAACGCGTCATCGAGGCCCCCGTGCGACTCTTGACTCACCACAATATAAAATACTCTTAACAGCTGGCGAAGGTACTGGAGCTTACGGGTCTTCAAACCTGGGTCGCGATGGAATAGCGCTCTCGCTTTCCAAATAAGAAATCCAGGGCTGGGCGCGCAAGCTGCTTCCGATTTGCTGGGCAGCTTCACCACCTTGAAAATTATGTTGAAGACCCCGCTCTTCGTCAGCATCGGGTGCCGAGAAGATCTGGTCGACCAGGTCCACGAGGTCAGCCTTGCGGAGGTGGAGAGCGTCGATGGCCTTCTGGTCGCACTCGACGACGGGCTTCTCGTTCTGGCGTGGGGCGACCTTGATGAAAGCACGCCACTGGGAAGAAATCTTACCTGTGATACGGTCAGCAAAGCAGGCGCAGTTTGGGAAGACATCACTGAGCTCGTTTTTCGATCTTCTTGAAATCGACCGACTCTGAGCCATGTTTTTGTCCGCCGGGACGTACATATCCACGTTCTGATGCTGGGCGGAGTAGGCCGTGAATTTGCGGAGGGTACCATCTGGCTTCTTGATGTTGCCGGGGGCTTGCGAGACCACGCGAGCTGCCCATCCAGGGGCCCCTTTAACCTCGACCGTGAATCTTTGGCTTGCAGGTTCGCCTTCGACCGTCCAAGAGCCAGGCTCGAAGTTCGAGGCGATCAGCCACTCTGCCAGCCCTTCACAAACTGCTTCTTCGGCAACCAGCCCTACCGTGCGGACGACGAGGATGGTGGGGTCCGTCTTGCGGTGGAATGCAGCACTGGGCTGCTCTGTGGGCGGCGTCCCCGCACGAACCACATGCAGTAATTGCTGTAACTTCTTGATCTCATCAGCCACGGTGGCCGGCTTAACTTCGTGGGCGTCGAGCCTGCACTCCGTGGCGCCGACACGGGCCTCGATCGTGCGTTCGACGGAGGAGCAGTGAGAGGTGGATGTCGCGGTGAGGTCAGGCATTCCTGTCTGCATTCTGGCGATGGCCGACATGACATCATTATTGGTAACATCGACATAGGCGCGGAGGCACTCGAGCTCGTTGTGGTCGTCGGGGAAGGGGGCCGAACAGGTGAACATCATCTTCAGCTTGCACCGGCGGGAACATGCGACCTTCATCAGCAGAACGAACACGAGGATTGGCGGCGGCCGAGGCCGACCCTTCGCCTTCTCTGCTACCCTTCGCTGCCCCTGTGCGTGGGGCTTGTGCGGGCCGTTCAGCAGCTGGCGCGGGGCGACGAGCAGCGCCAGACCGATCAGCAGCGGGTGCACCAGGACGAGCAGCAGCTGCCTCAGGCATCGCAAAGACTGAGGGATGTGAGCGAACGTCGTGTCTGCGGTGGCAAATAGGGCTGGCCAACCACAGAGAGCATGAAAGAAGAAGGTCCGCCTGCGCTCGACGCGCAGGAAAGCTCTAAACGCCGAGCTGCCCGCTCGCATGGGACCTGTTCCAACTTGCCCCTTCGCTACCTCCGCCCCCTCGTCCTCCTCCTCCTCGAGCGCTCACCTGGGCATTGGTTGGCAAAAGTAGCTCTTCTTGGTGGCCTCAGGTTGTCCTGGGGGGCTGAATGTGTCCTGCGCTAAAGTCGAAACCCTCGAGAGTCGAAATAGATCAGTTCGCTGATCGGCTTGGCAGGTTGGGGGTTCTACAAACCTCCGCTTCGACAAGGGCACGGGGCCTAAGCCACTTTGCTCACAAGCCTTGAGCCTCGCTAGGGTGTCTGGGGCTGGAAGAAAAACACGTCTTGCCGACGTGTGCCTCGGGCAGGGTGCCTGCACGCGCTCCAGTTGCGCACAGATGCATGGAGCGGGGCGGCTGTGCACGAATCGCATCAAATCCCACTCGGAGCTGTGCGCTCTCTTGGCAAGGGTCTGGGAAAGCGTAACGTCGGACCCAGACTGGAAGAACACCCCTCAAAAACATGAGACCCTCCGTCGGCCAAAACACACACACACACACACACACACACACACACACACACACACGCACAACATCCGAGGGTACCCTCCCCAGAATGCGCAGGAACAGCCAAAACAACACGAAGAACATTAGGGTACCCCCCCCCTCGGAGCCGACCTCGATGGTATACCCCGGTCCAGCTGCACAACCTTCAGGCTGGGGGGGGGAGTTCTACGAAGCCCCGTGATCCTCTCGGAAGGCCGACACCTCGCCCCCTCCTTGTGCGCGCCGCCGATCTGGCGAGCTGACGAGACAGCAGGACGAATAAAACGATCGGCTACAACCAAACATTTGATCAACGTCGTCGTCGTCATCGGTGTCGTCGTCGTCATCGGTGTCGTCGTCGTCGTCGTCGTCGTCGTCGTCGTCGTCGTCGTCGTCGTCGTCGTCGTCGTCGTCGTCGTTCAGGGTCGGCGGCAGCGGCCGCAAGGCCTCTCCAATGTGACGAAGAGATCATAATTTAAGAGATCTGGGCAAGCTTCCGGAAAGTTGCTTGAAAATCAAAGCTGAGCCAATTTTTCGTTCATGCAGGAGGGATGAGTCCGTTTGAGAGACTGGGCCAACTTTCCAGCAAGTTGGTTACGTACAGGACTTTGGCCCAGCTTTTCAGGAAGAGGTTTATTCAACATATGCTCGACTGTACAGATACAACCCTGGAATCTGTGTGAACCGACAAGCCCGGACGACGCATCAGGCGCCGCGGCCGTCCATGGCGCTCCAGGGTGCTTTGGAACAGCGTAACTCTGTCGTACAGTGCTGAGGCGGCAACACGAGACCCTCGCAAGAAGGCCAACCCTGAAGATCCGCGCGCGGGCTGCAAGTGGGAAAAACCCAAGGCACCCTGAACGCGGCAGTCTCGTCAACGTTCGCGGACAGCCACTGCGCAGCGCACAGCGAAGCATCTAGAGCACCTCGGCGCCCGCGCTGCTCGCAAAGGCGAGGGCCGGGAACACCAGGGTTTGGGGCCCCACCCGGGGCCCCTATCTCCACGAACTCAGCGCGTCCCCCCCGCAACGCCTATCGCAGCATCCCTCACATCGATGAAGATCGGCCAATGTTTGCGCCGGCGCCTATCTGGTTTCTGACGCGCATCCCCGCTTGTGGCCTGCCCGACGCACCACGGCCGCCCCTTCCGCCTCGCCGAGGGCGCTCCTGGGTCGCCAGCCTGCTGTGGAACTGCGAGAGCAGGCGCGTGCCGGCCCGGGCGAAGGCCATCATCTGGGGGCCGGGCTCCGGTCGCCGTCGTCGGCCGCCGCCGTGGTCGTCGCCATCTCTCGTCCTCGTGGTCGTCGCCGTCCTCACCTGACGGGGAGGCAAAATTGGGGAAAAGATGTTCGGAATCTGCACATAGATGTACACATACACAAATATGCACTCTTGTGCCACAGACATACGAACATAGTTGTGTAAGGTTTTCAAAAGTATAACACATGGAAAATATGCACATGCGTACATAAATGTGTAGATATGTATATGCGTATATATATAGATATATATCTATATATATATATATAGATATATCCATTCTCAAATGTTAATATACGGACACCCCCCCGTACAAAATTCGACCCGATGCGCTCCCGTCGACGAGAAATTCACGTTTTCAATCCCGGGTGCCCTTCCCGCCCGAGCGGGGACCAAAAACGTTTCCTGAACGGTCCTGCACAGCTCCGAGACGGCCCGAAACGTCCCGAGAACGCCTCATGAACCCTCGCACAAGGCCCAACGTGATTTCAAGACGGCCCGAGAGGCCCCCAAGACACCCCAAGAGGCCCCCAAAGGGACCCCCAAGAAGCAACAATCGTCCCACTCCAAGAAGAAAACATGTATTTTTATGAGGTTCGCTTCTTTGGTCTTCACAACGTCCGAGACGGACCAAGAGGTCAAGGTCGCCCCAGGACGGCCCGAGAGGTCCCCAAGAGAGCCCCAAAACGAACCAAAAGAGCTCCAGGACCGCCCAAGAGAAACCCAAAACGGTCCCAAAGAAGCCCCGGTAACCCCCCAAAGGGTTCCCAGCATCATCCCAGCAAGACCACAGGAGGCCCCCCAAAGGGGCCCAAGATCGCCCCTATATGAGCCGTCTGCCCCCTCTGTGCCTGATGACCCTTCAGGAGCCCTGTGAGCCCCATGAGTCCCGTAGGCCATCTGAGCGCTATGAGCCCTCCGAGCCCTGTGAGCCCTGTGAGCCCTATGAGGCCTGTGGGCCCTATGATCCCCATGACCCTACGAACCAGATGACAATTACGAGCCCTACGGGACCTATGAGCCCTCTGGGCCCTATGACCCCTATGAGCCGAATGAACCTTAGGAGCCCTGTGAGCCCTGGGAGCCCTATGTATCCTTATGAGCCCTATGGGCCCTACAAGCCCGATGAGCTCTGGGAGCCCTATGAGCCGAATGTGCACTATGAGCCCTACAGGCCCTATGGGCCCTATGAGACTTATGAGCCCTATGAGCCCTATGACCCCTATGAGCTCTATAAGCCCTATGAGTTCTATGAGCCCTCTCGGCCCTATGAGCCCAATGGGCCCTATGAGACCTATAGCCCTATGAGCCCTATGGGCCCGATGAGGTCTACGAGCTATATGAGCCCTATGAGCCCTACGAGCCCAAAGGGCCCTCTGAGCCGTATGAGCCCTGTGAGCACTGCCGGGCGTCCTCGAAAAACAGTCGACACGCCCCGCACGGGCCCAAAGAGCACGAAACATCCCCACCAGACTATGTTTTACTATTCTTGGAGATTTCTCCTGTAGAGGAAATGCCCGACCTAACACCTGCCTCGTCGCAGCGCACGATGACTTGGTGCGGTCGGGAGACCACGGCGGGAACGGCGCCGGCGACCTGCGCCCAGCCGGGCGGCTCAGAACGACGCGGCGGCACGCCTCCGCGCACGCCTTTTGCACGTTTTACGCCAAAGCCGAGCCCTCCATTGCCACGCAGTCGGGAACTTCTGGCTCAGCGTGGCGCCACGGCGGCCCCAGCGGGACACGCGATGCCCTGCGAGCGGGTGGCGTGTCGCTCCGCTCCGCGGGGCGGGAGGCTCGGAAAGGCTCGAGAACGTTGCCGCGGGGGGGCCGCGAAGTTACTAGCGTGTCGCGACGAAGCGCGGTGGGCCAGAGCCGGCCGAGATGCGCGCGAAGCAAATGTTCCCTACCGCAGGACCCCACGGTGCGCGCCTCATTTCAGAACATCAGCAGCCGAGCGTGCGCTGCAGGTTCGGTCCTGCCCTTGCCCGCAGACGAGGAGCCTCCGACCGCACTGCCAACACAACCGACAGAAGCAGAGGGCTCAGGCCTTAATCCAGGCCGGTCGGGCCAGAGTTCCCCCATGCCCTCCCCAGACCCCAGCGACGTCGTGACCCTGCTCACGGCGTGGGCCCTCTAGCATCTTGTCGCCGCGGGCCACTCTGCAGCCCCGCGGGGGCTGACGCTGCAACGGGCCCGCGGACAAAGCCACCCGTCGTGCTCGCTCGGAGCTCCATCCCGGGCTCCCCCTCCCAGACACCACCCCGCCCAGCTCTCTCTGGGCCTCGCCCGGCCGCGACTGCGAGGGCTCTCCTCTGGGTCCCCCTACCACCATAACAAAAAAACGTCCCCATCCTGCCTAATACCACACGCCTTCTTCCAGGCCAGAGCTCGGGACGGACGCAAGGGGGGAGCTATAGCGAATCGGGTGTATATGCAACTGGTTCTGTCAGCGCCTGCTGGCGCCGACAGCGGCCACGCCTCGAGGGACGTGCCCGGCAGCAGAGCCGAAACTGGCTGCAAGCACCCCTCCCCTTTGCCGCTCCATCATCCCGTCCGCCCCGATCAGCTGCTTATCGAGGCGTAGTTCTAGCTGCTTATCAGCTGCAACTCATCACGAGCAGCTAGAACTCGGACGTCGCCATTTGTTCACAACGTGGACCCCCAGAGGTCTCGGCCCTTTCACGGGGACAGGCTCTTCCTCGCGAGCCTTCCTGAGGGCCCAGGGTGAGGCCGTAAATGGCCTGAGATCTCCCGACGCGATTTCTCACGACGAGAAGAGGAGGAGGTTGAGGAGGAGGAGGAGAAGGAGGAGGAGGGGGAGGATAGTAAGAAGGACGGAGGAGGAGGAGGAGGCGGAGGAGGAAGAAGAAAAAGAAGAAGAAGAAGAGCGGCCTCGGGGGGCGGAGTCTGGCGCGTGCCTCTTGCTCTAGCCCCCGCCGTCGGAGGAGGAGGAGCAGGAGGAGGAGGAGGAGGAGGAGGAAACGGATGCGAGGAGGTCCGGCAAGGCATGCGGTCGGGAACTGCTGCTCCGCGCGTCGCGGCGGCGGCCCCTGCGGCACGCTGCGCCCTGCCGGCGGGCAGTGGCGCGCCGCTCCGCTCCGCTCCGCGGGGCGGGAGGCTGGGAGGAGCCCAGGACGGTGGCGCTCGGGGACGGGGACGCGGCCCCAGACACCCCGACACCCGCACGCGGCCCCGGACACCCGCGATTGGACCTGCTCCGCCCGCGGCCCCGCGGCTCCCGACCCCTTCCCCGGGTGCAGCCCTGCGTCCAGGACCCGCTCTCGGTGGTCCGGGCCACCGAGGAGCCCGATGCTGCCAGGCCCCGGAGAGCGAGGCCGAGGGAAAAAACGCCGGGGCTGAAAAGTCACACCTCGTGACGGAGGTCTGGGTCCAGCGCGCCCTGGCCGAGGCGTGGTGGGCGGAGGCCCGCGGGGAGGCACGCTGGGCCCAGGTTCCCGGCCGCACCGGGCCGGGCGAAAGGGGGGGATAGCAAAGGGGGGTGGGGGGGTGAGAATCAGATACGTATGGCTGTTCCTCCCGGCGCAGGGAGGCGCCCACATGGGAGGCGCCCACGTATCGAGTCGAATGGGCCCGGCGGCGGGGCCGAAACCAGCTGCATGCAGCAGATCTCGTTCCTCCTCCTCCTCCTCCTCCTCCTCCTCCTCCTCCTCCTCCTCCTCCTCTTCCTCCTCCTCCTCTTCTGCCTCCTCCTCCTCCTCCTCCTCTTCTTCCTCCTCCTCCTTCTCCTCTTCTTCCTCCTCCTCATTCTCCTCTTCTGCCTCTCCTCCTCCTCTTCTGCCTCCTCCTCCTCCTCCTCCTCCTCCTCTCCTCCTCCTCCTTCCCTCCTCCTCCTCCTCCTCCTCCTCCTCCTCCTCCTCCTCCTCCTCCTCCTTTCGTTCGAGCCCGGCCGCAGCGCGCGGCTCTGCGGCGGCGGTCGCCCTGTCCATCGTCTGCAGCGACTCGGTGTCGCCCTGCCTGCGGACCTGGATGCACGCCTCGGGGCCGGGCGGCGGCGGGCCGCGAGGGGAAGCAAGCAGGTCTCGACCGGCGCTGCGCGGCCCCAGCCCTCGACCTCCTCCTCCTCCTCCTCCTCCTCCTCCTCCTCCTCCTCCTCCTCCTCCTCCTCCTCCTCCTCCTCCTCTCATCATCATCCATCATCATCATCATCATCATCATCATCATCATCAGCATCACCACTATCAGCATCAGCATCATCATCATCAGCATCAGCATCAGCATCAGCATCAGCATCAGCATCAGCAGCATCATCATCATCATCATCATCATCATCATCAGCATCAGCATCATCATCATCATCATCATCATCATCATCATCATCATCATACTCACACTCATACTCATACTCATCATCATCAGCATCAGCATCGTCATCATCATCATCAGCATCATCATACTCATACTCATACTCATCAGCATCATCATCATTATCAGCATCGTCAGCATCATCGCCATCATCAGTACTCTCATCAGCATCATCGTCATCATCAGGATCATCATCGTCATGATGATGATGATCATCATCATCAGCATCATCCTCATCATAATCATCATCAGCAGCATCATCATCAGCATCATCACCGTCATCAGCATCATCAGCATCATCCTCGTCATCCTCATCCTCATCCTCATCGTCCTCATCATCATCAGCATCACCATCATCACCATCATCATCAGCAGCATCATCATCAGCATCATCATCGCCGTCATCATCATCATCGTCGTCAGCATCATCATCAGCATCAACATCACCGTCATCATCTCCTCCTCCTGCTCCTCCTCCCTCCCTCCCTCCCTTCCTCCCTCCTTCTCATCCTCCTTCTCCTCCGCTGCGAGAAGCGTGAGGAAAGGCTGGGGGTGAAGCCACGTCAGGCCCGCCCCATGACCGTTGCCGCACGGCGGGGACCAGGGTGGAGGTGGGTGAAGCAGAGCCAGGCCTGCCCCATGACCCCCCCCCCCCACACACACGAAGGGGACCAGGGTGGGAGAGGGCGCGCGTCGCTGGAGCCAATGCCATCATTACAGGCGGGCCTTGCGCGCAATGCCGAACTGTTCGGTGGCCAACCCGTGTCCCCCAGAATAGGCCTGGGAGATGGGGACAACCTTTTCCTGTCGACTCAATGTCACCACACAGCGCGGAGCTGCTCAGGCCAGCAGGAGCCAGCAGCAACCTCCTCTTCCTCCCCCTCCTCCTCCTCCTCCTCCGCCCCTCCTCCTCCTCCTCCTCCTCCTCCGTTTCCTCCTCCTCCTCCTTCTCCTCCTCCTCCTCCTCCCCTGTCCCCCCCTCCTCCTCCTCCTCCTCTCCTCCTCCTCCTCCTCCTCCTCTTCCTCCTCCAACTCCTCCTCCTCCTCTTCCTCCTCATCCTCCTCCTCCCGCTCCTCAATCTCCCCCTCCTCCTCCTCCTCCTCCTCCTGATCCTCCTCTTCCTCCTCCTCCCCCTCCTCCACGCCTCCTCCTCCTCAACCTCCTCCTCCTCCTCCTCCTCATCCTTCCCTCCTCCTCCGCCCCCCCCCTCCTCTTCCTCAGCCTCATCTTCCTTCTCCTCCTCCTCCTCATCCTCCTCCTCCGTCCCCCTCCTCCTCCTCCTCCCCGCCGTCTCCTCCTCCTCCTCCCCCTCCTCCTCCTTCTCTTCCTCCTGATCCTCCTCCTCCTCCTCGTCCCCCTTCTCCTCCTCCTCCTCCTCCTCCTCCTCCACCTCCTCCTTCCCGTTCCCCTCCTCCTCCACTCATTTTCCGTGTGAATGATTTCGCCCTGTCGCACCCAGAGGCCAATGTTTAGGGCGGGCTGGGCGTTTCGCTTGAGACTTCCGTCCCTTTTCTATATTTCTGAATCTTAAAATTGGCAACGGTCTCACAGATGGGAGAGAGGGACGCTTTCAAAATGTGGCTCTCGCCCTAGCGCGGCGCAAATAAGTTCTGACGTATTTGCAAAAGCTTCACGGGATCGGGCGGGTCGTTTTCAAAATGTGGCTCTCGCCATAGCGCGGCGCGCATTCGCCCCACACACTTGCAAGAGTTTCACGGGTTGAGGGCGGGTGGTTTTCACAATGTGACTCTCGCCTTGGCGCCGCCCACCTTCGTTTAAACATGTGCAAGAGCCGCACGGGTTGAAGGCGGGTGGTTTTCAAACTGTGGCTCTTGCCTTAGCGCCGCGCACATTCGATCTAAACAGTTCAAGAGTTTCACGGATTACAGGCGGTTCCGTTTCAAAATGTGGCTCTTGCCTTAGCGCCGCGCGCACTCAATTTAAACATTCGCAAGAATTGCACGGAGTCCGATCATCAACATGCCAATCATGGCGTTACGGAAGTATTCAGGATTATGCGGGCGCAACAGTTACGTTGATTCTCTGTGTCAAAATCAAAAAGCTGCTTTTTGGCACGGTACAGGATCATCAAGGCGCAACGGTAAGGTTGATCCGTGGCGTTTGAATCCCAATAACAATGGTTTGGCATGCTTCAGGGTCTTCAAACGGAATCTTCCAACGAAGCAGTCTCATCGATTAACATGAACCGTGGTTAAGAGGCCAATGAAGAGGGAGCTTGGTGGGAGGGTTTACTCTAACATCGTTGAGGAAGATTGGGGTTACACTGGTCCCTCTCCTCCTCCTCCTTCTCCTCCTCCTCCTCCTCATCCTCCCGCTCCCCCAGCTCCCACTCCTCTTCCTCCTCCGTCCTCCTCCTTCTCATCCTCCCCTTCCTCCTCCTTCTCCTCCTCGTCCTCCTCATCGTCATCCCCTTGTTCCTCCTCTTCTCCTCTTTCTCCAGCCTCCTCCTCTTCCTCCTCCTCATCCTCGTCCTCCTCATCCTCCCTCCGCCTATTGACTGTCCGTGCTTCTCTTCTCTTGCTATTGTTAATTCTCTCTCTCTCTCTCTCTCTCTCTCTCTCTCTCCCTCTCCCGGTCATGAGATGATCCTGACCTGGCCATCTGCCCCCACGATGGGCGGTCGGCCCCTTGGCAGGGGTGGCGGGTCCGACTCTACTGTACCAGGAGGCCTTCTAGGCAACCCGCAGGCAGAGGATCTGCGAGAATTCCACGAGGCACACTGACAAAAGTGCTTTGTTTGATTCGACGAGTGGGGCTACATGCCAAGCCTGACTGGCACACATTGTTTACAGTGTCTGGCAGCCCGTCGTCGGATTGGCCATCTCGCAAGTCTTCTCCCCCACACGGCGATGCAGGCAGGTGCGCACGCGTGAAGCTGCTGCGCTGGCAAGAGGCGCGGGGCTGCCTGCAAGAAGGTTGGCGTCTACGCTCACAAGAGGTAAGCAGCGCAGTACCTGTTACACAAGATTGGGGCGCTCGGCGCGGACGATGTCCTGGATCTGCGCTGGACCCCCCCCCCCACAAGCGCAGATCCAAGAAATCCGCGCGGCGCGCCAGACCTTTATGTATACGCCGTGCTGTAATCTCCGAAGAAAGGGGAGGGGGAGGGGAGAGATCATCACGAGGAGGAGGAGGAGGAGGAGGAGGAGGAGGAGGAGGAGGAGGAGGAGGAGGAGACGAGGGGAGGAGGGAGGAGGAGGAGGAGGAGGAGGAGGAGGAGGAGGAGGAGGAGGACGAGGAGGAGGAGGAGGAGGAGGAGGAGGAGGGGAGGAGGACGATGATGAGGAGGAGGAGGAGGGAGGAGGAGGAGGAGGAGGAAGGGGGAGGAGGAGGAAGGGGAAGGAGTGGGACTGCCGCGCGCGCGCGTCCCGCGTCGGAGACCGCCCCCGACCGCCCCCGCGCACGCCGAGACCACCACTGCTTGCGGGCGGCGGGCGCCCGAGGCCGCGGAGGCCGCGCCCCGGGCCTGCGCGGCCTCCCTCGGCCTCCGCGGGGAGGCCTGCCGCCTCAGCCAGGCCGGGGACGTCTGCGCTGGCCGTGGGGGTGCCTCAACGGGATGCCGTTCGGGCGAATGATTTCGGCGGTGGACAAACCTCCCTTTCGTAAGCCACTCTTCCGTGAAAGCGGCCTGGGACCGAAACCGGCGGACCTGGACCCGCAAAGAGGACGGCCGCGACGCCCTCTCGCGAACCGAAAACGGCCAATTCCTCAATCGACGCGTCAGGGCAGGAGGTCTGTCCACCTCCGATTATTGCCACCTGGCAAGAGGAGTGTTTTGTTCAGCGCTGGGCTTCGCTGCTGCGTGCTCGCAACCTGCGAGCCTGACCAGGAGGCTGGCGCTCTGGACCTCACGAGGATCCGCCACGTTCGCCACCTCCCAGCCAGGGGAGGGGCAGGAGGAGGAGCGGGGAGGGAGGGGCTCAAAGCAAGAGGACGAGCGGGGGGGGGGGAGGGGCAGGAGGACGAGCGGGGCAAGAGGACGAGCGGGGAGGGGCAAGAGGAGTGTTTTTTTTCTTCGGGGGGTGCAACGCTGCGCTGGCAAGAGGAGGAGCGGGGAGGGAGGGGGCGCGGCCGAAAGAGGGGCGAACGGAGCGAGCGGCTCAGGAGAACGGATCGCTGCCCGAGCGGGCGGCGCGGCCGGCCCCGGCGGCGAGCCCGCGGCGGCCGCTGCGTCAGCGGGCCTGGCGGCGGGGCCCAGTGCGGGCCGACCGTCAGCACGTATCCTGAGGATGCGCGGTAAGGACGCGAGGGCCTCGGAGGGCCATGCGGCCATGCGAACGTTGTTCGAGCGAGGCTGGCCAGCGAGAGTCGCTCGGGAGGGGCCGAAGGGGCAAGGAGGCGAGGGTAGCCCTGGAAAGGCTGCCCATCCTTGCTATGCGGGTTGGCTGTGCCGTCTCATCCGAGGCCGTGTCATCCGGACGAGTTCACCCGAGGCGAATTGATAGACGAGTTCCCTGAGATCCTGGCGTCCCAATTTGGTCGCGCTGGGCGTGTTCACTTCTGTTCGGGCCCCGGGAGCCTCGCAGGTTGATCCAGTCCGGAAAATGGCGCAGAAATGCGGTCGTGATGTGTTACGATGTTGAAATTGTTTCGCTTCGTCGGATCTCAGAGTTCGTCCAGACAACTTCTTCCGAACGGGCTCATCCGATGACGAGAGCGTTCAGGGACGGAAGCGCCGGCAGACAAGTTCGCTCTGGACGAGATGTATCCAGACAACTTCTTCTGGACGAGTTCGTCAGGAAGAACCTTCTTCCGGATGAGCTCGTCGCGGAATAGATCGTTCAGGATGAGCTGGTCGTCCTCCTCCATGGGGGCCCACTTCGGGCCCTGGGGCCCTCAAAAGTTCATCGGGGATATACTAACCCGGGTCAGTCCAAACCTGGGCCAGTCAGGCCTTGCCAGGATCCTGCAGGATCCTGCAGGATCCTGCGCCCAAACCTGGGTCGGTGCGTCGCAGGCTCGGCAGGATTCTGCAATCGAGAAAGAAACGCCATAAACATACATTTTTGGCGCTCGGATTTCTTGGACCTGCGCTGAACCCTCCTCCCTGGCGCACGGAGCGCGCCAGGAGCGGCGCCGGAGGCGCAGCCAGCGGGCCCCAGCGGGGACCCCAGAAATCCGCGCGAAGCGCCAAAAGTTTCTGTCTGTGTCGTTCTTTCTTCTTCGAATGATCCAGGATGATAGGCCTGTTTTCCACCACCACCACCATAAGTTGGAGGGGGGAAGGGGGTGAAGGACGAGGAGAAGGAGGAAGAGGACGAAGAGGAGGAGGAGCAGGAGGATGACCCCCTCCCCCTCCTACTTATGGTGGTGGTGGTGGAAAACAGGCCCACCACAGGATGCTCCTCGATGGTCCCCGCCGAGGAAAAATGCACCCATCCGCGCGATGCCAAGGGGAGGGCCAGCATCTCGACCCCCGTCGGCCCCACGCCGGCCTGGTCGTACATCTTGCGGAGCGCGGAGCGCAGCGCCCCCGCCACGACGGCTTCGGCGGCTGTGGCCGCGGTTGTTTTTGTTTTCTTCTCTCTCTCTCTCTCTCTATCACTCTCTCTCTCTCTCTCTTGCTCCTCCTCCTCCTCCTGCTCCTTCTCCTCCTCCTCCTCCTCCTCCTTCTCCTCCTGCTTGTCCTCCTCCTCCCTCGCCTCCTTATCCTGCTCCTGCTCCTGCTCCTGACGCTGGACTGGAAGTTTGGTTTTGTGTTGTGCAGCCTGTGGCAGCTCTGCAGCAGAACAGCTAGCTGATTTGTTCAAATAATGCAGTCCAGAGTGTCGTCGTCAAGACCACTTGAATCTAATTCAACATGGCTCATGGCCCAAGCAGCGAGCCAAAGCTTGCCGCGGCGAGTGTGCCGCGGCGGGTGTGCCCGCTTAAGTTTAGTTTGCTGTTTGGGGTCGCTCTTTATGTGGCCGGCAGAGTCGCGATTCGCAATATCCGTAAGTCCTCCTCCTCCTCCTCCTCCTCCTCCTCCTCCTCCTCCTCCTCCTCCTCCTCCTCCTCCTCCTCCTCCTCCTCCTCCTCCTCCTCCTCCTCCTCCTCCTCCTCCTGCAGACAGGCACCAGGAGGCCGCCGCCGCCGACGCCGTCGCCGTGGGAAGGCAACGGGCCATCGCCGCGCTGGAAGGGCACTGGGCCGCAGGCCGCCGTCCAGCGCCGCGAGACCGCGGCCCCCGAATTCGCGCTGCTGTGCGACGTGGACTCCCAGTGGTCTGGACCCCTTCCCCCGGACTGGCTCCTCATCCTGGCCCGATCTGTGCCACCCCTTGCGCCCGGCGAGGGCCCCCTGAGGCCTGAGACCGGCAGAAACCTGCCGTCGAGATTTGTTTCACGCCGCCCGGGAGATCATGCTGTATCGCAGGAACTGATGCCCACGAAAGAATTGAACTGGCTCCATAAGTGGATCAGCCTTGCAGTGGATGGTGTAGAAGCTACAGTAGGAGCTCGACCACAAGACACCTTCCACAAGAAACCCAACCCTGAGACCGAGGACGTCCATCGAGTTTCTGGTTTGGGAACGTCACGTTCTCCATCGCAAAACCATCGAAACCCAAAACGCCCAGGGCACCCTGGAGGCAAGCATGGTGTTTCTTGGCATGGGTTTCCACGATATGGTGCGTCTTTTTGATGACGGACCAGCTCCCCAGCCCCCCGACGTCGTGATTTTTCACTGCACCGACCCCAAGAGGGTCTCGACCCCTTCCGCGGGACCGGTTTTTCCTCCCGAGTCGTGTTTTGGTGGTCCCAGGGCCCGTTGAGGGCCCCCTGAGGCTGAAAATACCGACAACGCTCCCGTCGCGCGATTTTCTCACCACGCGAGGGGGTCTGGGAGATTCCCGTAGGGGCACACGCTGGGCGGCCCGGTGAGGGCCCCCAGAGGCCGGCGAGCATGAAAACCCACCTGTCGTGGTTTTCGTCGCAGCGCGAGGCCCCAGGCCTGGAGGCCTCGAAGCTCGGTGCTGGATCCTCCTTCGCCCTCCCTCCTTCAGGGCTCCCTTCGTCCTCCCTCCCTGCTCTCTTCTCGTCCTCCTCCTCCTCCCAGCTCGGTTGTCGGGCCCGTGTTGGTCCCCGTCGCCGCGCTGTGGCTCGCTGTTGGGGAGGGGCTGAGACGTTGGTCCGTGTCCAGAGCGAGCTCATCTCTTGCCTCCCTCCTCCCTCCTCCCATCCCTCCTCCTCGTGCCTCCGCCTCCTCCTCCTCCTCCTCCTCCTCCTCCTCCTCCTCCTCCTCTCCCCTCATCATCATCATCATCATCATCATCATCATCATCATCATCATCATCATCATCATCATCATCATCATCATCATTCATCATCATCATCATCATCATCATCATCATCATCATCATCATCATCATCATCATCATCATCATCATCATCATCATCATCATCATCATCATCATCATCATCATCATCATCATCATCATCATCATCATCATCATCATCATCATCATCCATCATCATCATCATTCCGCTCCCTCCTCCATCCCTCTTTCCTTCCCCTCCCTCCTCCCTCCCCCCCTCCCTCCCTCCTCCCTCTCCTCCCTCCTCCCCCCCCTCGAGCCCAGCAGAAAGCTGCCTCCCCCCCCTCCCCCCCCCCCTCCCGCGCCGCAGCGAGAGCGCGCCGAGCCGAGCCGAGGCCGGCGCGAGGGCGGAGTACGGGGGCGCCGCCCGCAGGGGGCCGCCCGCCGGGGCCCCGGGAGAGAGCCTCGGCCGGGCGGAACGCGAGGTCGGCCAGCGGACCTCGCGCACGGCCAGCAGATCACAGGCCCGCGGTCGGCGCTTTGGTCAGGCTCGCGCTGGCCTCACATCGGGCCTGTTTAGGACAAAAAAAAACTTTCAATAAATACACCAACAATGCCCCCCGAGATGTTCAAAAATGGTATAAAAAAACGTCTCCATCACATTTTTGGACTATCTTTGAACGTTCCCTCTGTAGAGGGACAGGCCCGAAGTAATGCTGGCCCACGTCTGCCGCGGAAGGCGCCTGCCCACGGCTGCTGCGGAATGCATCTGGCCGGGCGGAACTCGGCCCGGGCCTGCAGTCGGACTCAAAGAACACCCTTCAAGTAAATGAGAGCCTCCACCGGCCAGAGCACACATAATATCCAAGGGTAATCTCCCCAGGATGCACAAGAGCATCCCACACACACACACACACGCACGCACGCACGCACGCACGCACGCACGCACACACACACACACACACACACACACACACACACACACACACACACACACACACACACACACACACACACACGAAGAACACTCCAGTGCCCCCTCCCCGAATCGACCTCGATCTTATATACCTCGGCTGGACTGTACTGAAGCTTGGCCGAGCTCCGGCTGGCCGAGCTCCGCCTGGCCGAGCTCCGCCTGGCCGAGCCCCTGAGATCCGATGTCGTGATTTTTTTGAACACGGGGTCCCCGGAAGTCTCGACCCATTCCCCAGGACCGGTTTTTCATCCCGAGTCGTTCTTTGACGGTCCCGAGGCCCGGCGAGGGCCCCCAGGGGGCCGAACTTTGCGAAAAACCTCCGTCTTGATTTTTTCCAACACGTTGGATCGCAGGGGCGCCGCCTGGCCGAGCTCGGTGGCTGCCGCGGGAGGGGAGGGGGGGGGGCGGCCGCGTCCTGGCGGCGTCAGCCCGACGTCGACGCTCCTGGGGGGGGGGGGGGGGGCGAGGGCGGCGGGACCCGGAGGGACTCGGAGGTACAGTTCAGTCGGGCCTGTCCCTCTACAGGGGGAATCTTCAAAAATAATCTAGAAATAGTATGTAGTATGGGGACCATTTCCTTTGATACTTTTTAGCCATTTTGGAATATTTTTGGGGTACTGGTTTTTTTCGTCGAAAATCCTAGGGGGACACGCCCGACTTAAAGGTACAGGCGCAGCGACTCTTTCACACCGGGCGTGCTCGCCCGGCTTCAGGGCCCCGGGACCATCACAGAGCGGCGCGGCCCGACACCTGGCGCAGAAAGACGGGGTCCAGGGCTCCGGCGGTGCCTTCTCGCGAGGCGCACATTTGCTGACAACGTCGGTTCTAGGGGGGGGAGGGCATGGCAGGGATGTGAACTTGTTTTGGACGCGGACCGGCGTCTCAGCCCCAGCTCCCCAGCAGCGAGCCGCAGCGCGTTGACGGGGACTGCAGGGGTCTGAAACAGCGAACTCGGAGGAGGAGGAGGGGA